TTGAGTGAGGCCATGCAGAGGCATGGAGAAATTGAGAGCAAGCCAGAATGCAAAGACAGAAGGTCAGGCAGAGGCAACAGCACGGGGGCGATGGTGGGAGGAGAGGGGAGGGTGGAGGGTGGAGGGTGGAGTGGAGGGTGGAGGGAGGAGAGTGGAGGGTGGAGGGGAAGGGCGGAGGGTGGAGCGTGGAGGGCGGAGGGAGGAGTGTGGAGGGAAAAGGGTGGATTGTGGAGGGTGGAGGGAGGAGGGTTGAGGGTGGAGGGTGGAAGGTGGAGGGAGGAGAGGGGAGGGTGGAGGGTGGAGTGGAGGGTGGAGGGAGGAGAGTGGAGGGTGGAGGGAGGAGGGTGGAGGGTGGAGGGTGGAGGGAGGAGTACGGAGGGAGGAGGGTGGATTGTGGAGGGTGGAGGGAGGAGGGTTGAGGGTGGAGGGTGGAGGGTGGAGGGTGGAGGGTGGAGGGTGGAGGGAGGAGAGGGGAGGGTGGAGGGTGGAGTGTGGTGTGGAGGGCAGAGGGAGGAGAGTGGAGGGTGGAGGGTGGAGGGTGGAGGGAGGAGGGTGGAGGGTGGAGGGTGGAGGGAGGAGTACGGAGGGAGGAGGGTGGATTGTGGAGGGTGGAGGGAGGAGGGTTGAGGGTGGAGGGTGGAGGGTGGAGGGTGGAGGGTGGAGGGAGGAGAGGGGAGGGTGGAGGGTGGAGTGTGGTGTGGAGGGCAGAGGGAGGAGAGTGGAGGGTGGAGGGAGGAGGGTGGAGGGTGGACGGTGGAGGGTGGAGGGAGGAGTATGGAGGGAGGAGGATGGATTGTGGAGGGTGGAGGGAGGAGGGTTGAGGGTGGAGGGTGGAGGGTGGAGGGTGGAGGGTGGAGGGAGGAGAGGGGAGGGTGGAGGGTGGAGGGTGGAGTGGAGGTTGGAGGGAGGAGAGTGGAGGGTGGAGGGTGGAGGGTGGAGAAGGGAGGGAGGACGGTGGAAGGAGGAGGGTGGAGGGAGGACAGTGGAGGTTGGAGGGTGGAGGGTGGAGGTTGAGGGTGGAGGGTGGAGGGAGGAGGAATGAGGGAGGAGGGCGGAGAGAGGAGGGTGGAGGATGGAGGGTGGAGGGTGGAGGGTGGAGGGAGGAGGGTGGAGGGAGGAGGGTGGAGGGTGGAGTGTGGAGGGTGGAGGGTGGAGGGTGGAGGGAGGAGGGTGGAGGGTGGAGGGTGGAGGGTGGAGAAGGGAGGGAGGAGGGTGGAAGGAGGAGGGTGGAGGGAGGACAGTGGAGGGTGGAGGGTGGAGGGTGGAGGTTGACGGTGGAGGGTGGGGGGAGGAGGGATGAGGGAGGAGGGTGGAGGGAGGAGGGTGGAGGATGGAGGGTGGAGTGTGAAGGGTGGAGGGAGGAGGGTGGAGGGAGGAGGGTGGAGGGTGGAGTGTGGAGGGTGGAGGGTGGAGTGTGGAGGGAGGAGAGTGGAGGGTGGAGGGTGGAGGGTGGAGGGAGGAGGGTGGAGGGAGGAGGGTGGAGGATGGAGGGTGGAGGGTGTTGGGTGGAGTTTGGAGGGTGGAGGGTGGAGGGTGGAGTTTGGAGGGTGGATGGTGGAGGGTGGAGTTTGGAGGGTGGAGGGTGGAGGGTGGAGGGTGGAGTTTGGAGGGTGGAGGGTCGAGGGTGAAGGATGGCAGGGCAGCAGAAATCCTCCCAGGCGACAGCAGCAAGCAGCAGCGTCCCATGCGGCTCGTCTCCATCATCCACACACCGTCAGTTGCATGTGGTGTGCGATTGGTTGGCTGCTGGCGTGTGCATACCGCCGCACACGGAGCGCCCCGCTCAGTAAGTCGCCACACACTGGTGGTGCTCCTTGAGTGCTTCCCTGCAAGCAGAATATAAGAGTGAGAGAAGAACCCAGAGTGAAGGTACGATGTTGAGTGAGGCCTTGCAGAGGCGTGGAGAAATTGAGAGCAAGCCAGAATGCAAAGACAGAAGGTCAGGCAGAGGCAACAGCACGGGGGCGATGGTGAAAAGAGAAAAGGAAGGAGGAAAGACGTCTTGTTAGAAAGTAACATGCTGCCTCGATCGTCACCTTCGAAACCTTCAGTCTCGTCGGTCAGTACCATACTAAGACGGTGCCTCGATATCAGTTTCCGAAACTTTAGGCAAGGATTGTGAGCTTGCGTTTTTTGTGATGTCGATCGTCAACATGGGGTCGTCAAACTAAGAGGATTCCGCCTTAAACGCTGACGTCAGAACCCCCCGTTCCAGTAGGCAACGTGATTTTTCGCCGGCAATCGCCACCTCGTCAATCGCCACCTCGTCAATCGCCGTTAGAAGATCGTCACGGGGTCAGCGGGCGCCAATCGTCGCCGACTCCCAGTCTTATCATCACCATCAAAATATGCAAACGTCGCCGTACGAACACCTCGTCGCGATCGTCATTGTCGGCGCGATTGTAAGAACTCCGTTAACTTTCTCCGCTTCTCTGCTCGAACGCTCGCCCTCGCCTTCGCCTTCACCGCCTCGATCGTCGACGGAGAGCTTCATCAGAAAACGCCGTCTCAATCGTGACCGTCCGTCAAAGACGCATTTTCGATACGTAAGATCTCGCTGTCTCAATCTCGATTATTGATGGGCCATCCCCGCAACTTGCCGTCCCAACCAATCCTCTCCGTCAGAAGATCATCACCGCGAGAACTCAGTGTTGATCATCAACTCCAAAAATTTCCTGGGAGACGACACCATCGGAAGGCGTCAATCATCACGGTCAGAAAATCGTCACCACTCCCAGAAAAACACCGGCAAAGATCGTCACCGTGAGAAGTTGTCACAGCCAGAAGATGGTCACCGGCAGAAGACTGTCCGCAACAGAAGATCGTCAGCAGAACTCCCGAAGGTCCCACCTGTCACCATCAGAACTATCAGAAGACGCCAAGCGTCGCCGTAAAGTACTCCCCATCACAATCCTCACCGTCAGAAATCGCCGTCTCGATCGTCGCCGTCAGCACCTCGTTTTGACCTTCACCGTCAGACATCGCCGTCTCAATTGTTATCGTCAGCACTCCTCGTTCGATCTTCACCGTCAAAAATCGCCGTCTTCCGTCAGCACTACTCGTTTCAAATTTCACCGTCAAAATTCGCCGATTGCCATCGCCAGCACTCCTGGTCTCGATAATCATAACCAGGAATCGCCGTCTCGATCACCTCCTCCAAGGAAACCGTCCCGAACATCGTCTTCATAAAACATAAATTCTGCTCCGAAAAGGCAGAAATCGTTAACGCTGTAGACGTTGAATTTAGACGGCGTTATCGTCGCAGCCTGAAACACGACGTGCACTTGAACGGCGATACGACGTCGCCAAGCCTTACGAACAGTCTCCGACTAACGTCAGCGGTAGATTCTCAATGGTATTCACACAAAAAAGGCCGAATGCTACGGTCAACGATCACCATGGAGCATTGTAATACGAGCTGCTCAGGATTGAACGAGGAGAGTCTGCTAGTGCTCTTCTGAATGTCTAGTAGCATAGCCGTGGATAGTAACAGATACGACTATAATTGCGCTTGGGAAACAATTATCGTAAATGGAAGTCGACAGCCATGGATTGCTGACGAAACGAGCTGAGGCTTGAAGAGTCCCGGCATCAGAGGCCATGAAACTCCGAACAGAGGTGCTCCGAATATGGCTAGAGGACACATTGAAATAAGAAGTGAACCACGACTAAGATATAGTCCTGATTAATGATTGGTAAGTATGGAAATTCAGGCGACAGCCATGGATTCCAGGGAACCGAACGAGCCTTATGTATAGGAGGAGTCAGCGCGAGTTGCGGTCATGATGGTGGGGAAGAAGGCGTTCAGGACAGCTCGAAATAGGATAATCACCAAGCGGTGGTGTAAGAGGGGTTCAGTGGAGCAATACCGGTTTCCCAGAGCGATCCAGAGTGGTGCAGGGAGATTTACATGGAAGTGGGAGAGGTGCGACGAAAGTGGGGGACCATCTTTTCGAAGGCAGCCATTCCCCTTCCTCTACTGTACTCTGGTGCAGGCCGCCGCAGCGTCAGCGGATGCCCTCAGTTTCGTGAACCAAAACAATTGACCTTTCGCTTGCAGGAGGTTTGGTTCGCGAGAAGTGTGACCGGGTTTTGCAAACAAGTTACGGCATACTCGCATCGCGGTACTCTCGCCGTTTGCGCGAGAAACAGCATGTCCCTGACAGACGCTTTTGTGATAACTCGCACACATCCCCCAGAGATGGAATGGAGACTTCCAGGGGTTATAATGTGGATAAAATGGCCGATGGGATGCTGTAGTTGCCTCACACCCAATATGATAGCGTATTGTTTTTTCAGCAAATATTCAAATCACCAATATTTCTTATGGTTGACACACCCAGGATACTTGACACCTTTATACATTGTCAAAGCAGCCATGGAGGGAGGAACCAACTCTTTCTAATTTCCCTTCTTCCACTTCCATCTTTCTTTCCAATCTCCTTCCTTGTCCATATTAATTTCTCTAATCTCCGTGCATTCTTTTTTTTTGTATTCATTCCAGGAACAAATAACACTCACGCGGTAGTAGAAGTCCATGGATCTCAAAGGCTAAACAACTCACCTCCTGCAAGAAATATGGACTATCTATACACAGCAAGCCTGACACCTATGCACACGACTATTCACACCGCTATACATAAGCCACAAACGCACACAACAATCAAATCAACGCAACACGCAGTGAAGCCCATTATCTACACGGATGCACAACGAAAGCCCTCCATTTCTAGCGGCCAGGACACACTCCAAGCCACCTGCAATCTATACAAGACTCACCAGCCTTTAATGGCCTCACCTCCTCCCCTTAGCCTCTCCGCTCCACAGCCCCTCCGCCTGGGCCCCTCCATCAGGCGTGGCGGTCGAGCTGTCACTCAGCAGTGAGCACACTGCTGTCGCGCTGCAGCTCCGCTCCTTAACCACACCCCCCCCCCCGCACCACCCATCTATACAAGCCCCACCGCCCTTAAGGCCCTGCAGCCCGTCATGTCTGGGTCCCATCAGGCATGGCGGTCGAGCTGCCTCTCAGCAGTAAGCACACAGCTGTCGCGCTGCAGCTCTGCGCCATACACCTCCTCCTCCACCACCACCGCCCGCCCTCCCCCCACCCCTCCCCCCGGCAGCGCCGCCTCCTGCTGACCCGCACCCAGGGGGCCAGAGAGCACTCCTGGAGCAACGACAGCAGCAGCAGAGGCAGAGGCAGAAGCGGAAGCAGAGGCGGAGGTGGGGAGCGGCTGCAGAGTGGGGAGAGCGCAGGCGAGGTCAGGAGCAACGCCGACCTGGTCAATGGCGTGCATGGCGGGCGATAGGTACTTGGCCACAGTCACAAACAGCGCCGACCCGTCCGTGAGCTCAAACACCGTCTGAATGCGCCCCTTGCCGTACGTCGTATCCCCCACCAGCGTCGCCCGCCCGTTGTCATGCAGCGCGCCCGCGACAATCTCACTCGCGCTCGCACTCCCGTGATTCACCAGCACAGCCAGCGGCCGGTCCGTGAGCGCACGGGAGTTGCGCAGCGCAATGGCCTCCACGGCGCCGGTGCGGTCGACGGTGTTGACGAGCGTGGCACCCGAGCCGAGCCACATGCGCGCGACGTCGAGCCCGGCGTGCACGAGGCCGCCGGGGTTGTTGCGCAGGTCCAGGATGTAGTTGGCCACGCCCTCGCCCTCCAGCCGCTCTATCGCCCTCGCCATGTCCTCCGCCGCGTTCTGCCAGACGTGAGGCAGGGGGAATGTGACATGGTGTGGGGTGAGATCACATGGGATGGGTTGGGATGGGATGGAACGGGATGCGATGGGATAGATTGGGCGAGGGCAGGCTAAGGGTGCGCACCTGGGAGAAGGAGGCGAGGCGAATGTAGCCGGTGGAGGTGGGAGCGCCCTGCTCCGTGTGGTGGGGCAGCGCCGTCGCGTACACTGGTGACAGCGCTATTGGCTCGCGCCTCAACAGGATGTCCGTTGTTCCCTCCGGCAAATCAGAGCCGTCCACGTCAGCTCTCTGCAGCACAAGGGCCGGATCAGCGCGTGAGGGCATGTGGGCGGGCAGATTGCAGTAAACATCACCAGAGACGTAATATAACAGGGATGGGGGGAGGCCTTACAGCGGGGCGCACGGTGAGTGTGACTGCTGTGCCCGCCTTGCCTCGCAGCAGGTTCGCCGCCTCCTGCCCGCTCATGCCGCTCAACGGGGAATCTGCACCGCCCGGAGAGAGGGGAGGGGACAGATGTAGATAAGCAGGCCGTGTGTGGGTTCGTTGAAAGCCACAAGAAGGAGAACAGGGAGAGCGATGAGGGGGAATCCAAGGAAAGAAGAGCAGGCGGGAGTAGCAGCAGGGAGGGAAGACGAGCGGGGAGGTGGTGCAGGAGGGGCAACGTACGGTCAACCGCAACGACCTCGTCGCCCGTGTGGATGCCAGCTCGATCCGCGGGGCCGCCCTCGATGGGCGAGAGCACCAGCTGCGCGCGGAGTCAAGGAAGGGGGAACAAGGGGGAGGGGGACGGAAAGAGGGAAGGGGTGAATGGAGGGATGAGATGGGGAAGCGCGGAGAGGAAGTCGAGCACGTGGCGGGTGTGAGCGGTGTGCAAGAGGAGAGGGAACAGCGGAGAACGCGCAAGCGAGAGGAACGGCGCATGTGTGCGCAAGTTGGGAAGTCAGCGCGCGGAGGCCAGCGCGCGTGGGAAGGGGGGGGAGGAGCGCACCAGGCGGCCGTCAGTGGTGTCGGAGGCGAGCAACAGCCCCACTCCCTCGAGACCGCCGTCGCTGCTCACGCGGAAGCTGTCGTAGTCGCCCGGCGACACCAGGCGAGTGAACGGGTCGCCCAGCGTCGCCAGCATGTCGTGCACGAGCGCGTACGCGTCGTCCGCGCTGCCCGCCGAGACGCTGCCGCGAATGGCGGCGGCGAGGCGGCGGTCCCAGTCCTGGTGGTTGAAGGTGGGATCCACGAACGCCTCGCGCACGATCCCCCACGCCTCCACCATCGTCCGCTGCGCCGCCTCCACCTGCGCCACCGCGGGGGGGGGGGGGGGGCGGGGTAAGGGAGGGGGGTAGAGAAGGGATGGGGCGTGGGAAGAAGCGTGTGGGTCGACGTGGTGTGCTATCGCCGACGGGGAGAGCGCGGAAACGGAGAACGAAGCGTCGGCGAGTTTGAACGCCTAGCTCAACGCGTCAGCATGTGTGGAGCGCACCATGTTGTAGCGACGCGACGAGCGCATGAAGCCAGTCCGCCTACAACGCGAGCTCATGGTGATTTCACTTGGCTGGTCTCGGTTCACCGAGATCCAACTCGTCATCTCACAATCATTCATATCGTTCAAACCGTGTGATATAATCCCCGTGACACAAGGGCACGTACCCCAGTGATGTGCGGTCGGGGCACGATGAGAGTGAGCACGCCGTTCTCCTCCTCCACGCCCATCGCCGCGTCGCTCATCAGCACATCCGTCGTTTCGCCGCTTAGCAAGCTCTCCGCAACTGACGGGGCGGGAATCCCGACTAGAAGCACCGCCGCCGCCGCCGCTCCGACGACGGCTCCACTCGCAGCCTTCCGCAGCCATTCCGCAGCTCGAGCGAGCTTGTCGTGGCTCGAGACATGTGATGGCAGATCCGCTGCCGCCGACGGCTGAGGAGTTGTTTGACGTGGTGGTGACTGCGCCGCTGCTGACGGGCCGGCAGCTGACGGGCCATGCGAGGCTAGGACGACTCTTTGCTGACGGGAGGCTCGTGACTGGACGCGAGGAGCGACGGCAGCGGAACTCTGCTTGGATTCTAAATGGACGAATGCGGGAGAGGGAGGGGACGAGCTGCGAAGATTGTGTGCTGGTCGACTCGCTGGTGGGAAGGTAGTTGGGTGGATGGAGGAGTGCAGTGCTCTGACCGCCATCGGTGAGATTTGCGTGATAACAACGATTCGCAGAGACGATGGTGGAGGCGGAGGAATGAACGGAGTCTCGGCACTGAACTCGAAAAATGCTGGTGCTTTGAAAGGGGATGGAGAGACATTGGTGGTGGGTGGTGTTGAATAGAGACGAGCCGCGATGTTGAAGACACAATGCGGGGAAAGGGCGGAGGCCTGACGGGTGGGGGGAGTGAATCGTGGAGAGGGAGCGGAGAACGGGGAAGCGCAGATGCATAGACGCATGCTGTGATTGGACAACGGGTCTAGACACCGACACATGTGTTCGCGACAACAGTCAGTGATCATCGCGTGCGGGGAAGAGGGGCAAGGTAGGTTTCTGGAAACTGGGGGGAACGAAGCTGACTGGAGGTTGAAGGCCTGGCGCGCGTGCGATCGAGGTGGCAACAGAACACCCAGGGCAAGTACCACGCCTCGTTCTCCGCCCAGCATCGGCCACGTCACTGCCAGACGTCGCTCATTGAGCATTCCGTGTAAAGTGAAAGTGAGGGAGTCAACCCCATTCGAGCTGTCGCAACAACACCAATAAAGGGCGAGAAAACAAAAGGTCTCAACCAATAATCGAATCTCATATCCGCTAATTGGTTTAAAATTTCACGTGCCCCATAATATCGCAGACCGGTGGTTCCCTGCGGTATACTGTATGATCCGAAACAAGCAACGAGCTTATGACATGGAATGGTTTTATGCGTACATAGAAGCTGGAATACGTAGTAAAGGAACCCTATATTTTGCAGTTCTCAACCAGAACTCTCCCAGATCGTCTTATACCGTGAAGGAACATGTACATAATGCATAGCAAATACATCAATCATACACTGTCTAACTCATTAGAAGCGGCATACAATCACCAGCTTTCCATTGCTTTCTCAAAGCTGGCTGAGGACGAAAATGTGAGAATAGGGGTGCTTCTTTCTGTTCCGGGGTGTCTGTCATGCCTCATAACGTGTGAGGGACCAAAAGAATGGCAAATCACATTACTGTGGCATAACAATGGAATTACAGCATGCCAAGGCCAGTTCTTTAGTGTGCTGAAGCCTCGCAGTGCTTGTTGTAAGCGTCATCATCAAGCAAGTCGTTCAGCTCTGCGGGGTTGGCAATCTTCACCTTCATGATCCACCCATCAGCAAAGGGAGAGGTATTCACCTGACGTAATAAGGGACGGGAAGTCAGCACAATGTCACACGGGACGGGAAGAACGGGAGGCTGGGAAAGCAGTGTAATCGTCCTGTTGTTCCGCAATCTGCTTTTTTATTTGTTTGCGGAAGACAGATGCGTGAGACTCACCAGGGCAGGGTTGCTGCCGAGCTCCTCGTTCGTCTCAACAACCTCTCCAGTGACGGGCGAGTACACGTCACTGGCGGCCTTCACGCTCTCCACCACGCCGAACGTTTGTCCCTTGCTGACCTGCGTGCCGGCCTTTGGCATGTCCACGAACACGAGCTCTCCCAACTCATTCTGCCAGGCGGAAAATCGTCTCAGTCTAGGCCGTTGGGAGTCAAATTTAAACACGGAAGCGAAACGCCACATTACTACTCACTTGGGCGAAATCTGAGATGCCGACTGTTCCGACCTCGCCGTTCACTTCGACCCATTCATGTGATTTCAAATACTTCCGGTTCTCTGCAGCTGCAGCACGGAATGAGATTTTATTGTTTCAGATGCTGGACTTTCATGATTATATTATGCTGTTAATAAAGAAAATGTTAACTCACCAGAAGCGAATGATCGCCAGAAGGGAGCAATGAGGCTGTCTGTCGCTGGAAGGCAACGAACCCTCAGGGATGTGGCGGCCTGCGACGCGAACACTCTGCGCAATACAAACCATCGCTATCAAAACGCTGAATCAACATAAATTGCACGAGAATTCAGGCTAACACTAACCTGAGAGCCATGGCGGCGATGTGTTCTCGTCTGGTCGTCACTAAACTGATGCACTGTCGAAATTGCTCTGCGGACAAGTCAGCTGGTTTGAACTGGGAAAGCCAAACAAACCAGATGAAGGTGAGGAGAAGTGGTTCAAAAAGGCTCACAGCGCCACGTCAGATTCGCTCCCCTATCTGTCCGCAACAGTGACGACTCCGTGGAATAGATCCGCTTTTCTGGCCTGGCGGGTGCATCTTCAGCCCGCACGTCGGGTGAAGTGTGCTGTGTGGCTGGGAGTTGAGTTGACCCAACTAGCTAGGCTATCCCCACGAGGCTGTGATTATATAGATTATATAGACCGCCAAAAGAAATGTATAAAATATAACAGCGCCCCTACAACGAATCTGATTAGCTAAACTATCATATTCAAAAAAGACTCTTTTCGTGTTTTCCCTTCTGAGTTCAGCTCTCTTATACTGCCATAGCCGAAAGCATGAAATATATAATAAAGAAACAAGCAGATGTAATTAAATGGTTCACAATATGCAAGCAAAAGTCTAAAATTGGCATCACCAGATAGCATGGGCCTCCACAACACTTGAAGGAACTCCAACATCACATAGCCACCATTAGTGGTGTGTGGCTATACGGGATGCCCTTCAAGCGAAGGCCAACCCCTTGGAAGATAATAGAGGGGCCTTGTAGCCGAGGTGCATGATATCGGGTGAGGCCTGTCGAGCAGCAAACAAAACACACGAAAAACAAGAGAAAGACAAAAGAAAAGAAACTCCAACACTTCATGCACTGCAGACTGAAGCCTGATGATCATGACCTTAAAACCAAAGCTCCAGCAGTTTCAGCAGCAGCCGACACACGAGATTCACACGACCCATGAGCGCAAGAGCAGGGAGCCAAGAGCAGAGCGTGCTACAGCTCCCACAGCTGCTGCTGCCACATGTGGAACTGCTCTGCTGTGGCTGACACTGCCCGGTCCATGCCCCCTCCCTGCCCGTGATGCTCACTCGCCTCCACTGCAGCCGCTGCCGCAGCAGCCATGGCCGCATGCACACTCCTCTCCTCCCCTTCCTCTCCCCCCTCTCCCTGCCCGTACTCCAGTGCAGTTACGCCTTCCCCAGCTGCAGCCTCCCCTCTCTGCCCCTCCCCCCCCTCCCCCTCGTCGCCTGCCAGCAGCAGCAGCGGCTCGAAGTCGAAGGCGCTGCTGTATGGGCTGGGGGACGCCGGGGGCGCAGTGCAGGGGGGCTGGGGGGGCGCAGGGGGCGGAGAGCAGGGGGGCTGGGGGGACGCAGGGGGTACAACCAAGGGAGGCTGGGGAGGGGGAGGTGAGGCTGACAGCAGGGAAGCAGCAGCAGGCATGTTGTGGGGAGGGGGAGAAGGATGGGACGTGCGGAGCAGGCCAGCAGGAACGGAGCCCTGGAGTGGTGGTGGGGGAGATGTGGGCCGTGCGGAAGCAGGCGGAGGCACCTGCGTGTTCCCAACAACCACGTCACTCGCAGCTATGTTGCTGGCAGCAGCACTGGGAGGCAGGAACTGGAATGGCGGTTCATGCATCTGTTGCTGCTGTTGCCGCTGCTGCTCCGCATGTCCCTCATGCCCCCCCTGCCCGCCAGCAGCAAGCGTGCGGTGTGACTGTAACAGGGGTGACTGCAGGATGCGCATCAGCTGCTCCCGCGCTGCTGCTGCGCCCAGAAGGCTGCTGTTGTTTTCGGGGCCCTGAACGCTGCTTCCTGGCACCTGAACATTGTCCCCTCCTGCATGGATGCTGCTGCCTGGCGCCTGACCGTCGTGCCCAAGCACATGGGCAGTGCTGCTGTTGTTTGGCGCGAGGGCAGGCGGCGGCAGGGAGAGCGCGGAGCCGAGGGCAGCGAGGGAGGAGAGCAGCTGCGCCAGCGCGTGCACTGCGGCCGTGGGGGCACGCGCACTAGGGGACGCGCTCGCAGGCACACCCACTGCTGCGGCCACACTCGCTGCAGCAGCAAGCACACCCGGTGTAGGCGCAGCAGCAGCAGTGTGAGGGCCAGGTGTGACGGTAGTGGCGGTAGGGTTGGCCGCGGAAGTGGAGGGAAGAGGTGAAGGGCGGGGCGCAGGAGGAGCGGCGGGGGGGTCATCCGTGGAGCCACCGCTGCTGCTCACGTGTACGCTGTGCGGGCGAGCGGTGCAGGCCGCGGGGGTCATGCGCGATCCGCGCGTTGCAGCGTCGCCATCAGCTCGATCCTCAACCTCCGCCGTCTCTGCTGCTGGCGAGTCGGGGAGCACGATCACGTCTGGAGGCGCCTTTTGCGGCGGGATTTCCACCATGGGGGGAAAGCGAGGAGCGGAGAACGGCCGTGCGCTGGGCGGGGGAAAGCTTGTTGGGGACACATTCGCAGCGGAAACGCGAAACACGGCGGAGGGGGCGGGACGGGTGGCGGAGGCGAGAGAGTGCGGCGACACGTGGCTGGAGATCTCGGCGGTGGGGACGGAGCGCGCGCAAAACACGCTACCCGCGCCGCAGCTGCTTGCTGCCTGCACGGCCGTCGGATTACTGTCCGACTCCTCCTCTGGCGACGAATCGGACGATAGAGCTTCCGCACGGAGGGACCTTTGCTCTGCGTTCCCTCCCATTCCTCCGCCTCCTTCAACGCGAGCCGCGTCCTCCGCAACCTCCTGACACACGCGGACGAGCGACTCGGCGATGGCGGGCGGCAGCGGCACGTCCTGGTGGCTGTCGGGGAAGTTGAGACTCCCCGCCGCGTCGCCTCGCAGCATCCGCGCCGCCATGTCGTACACGCGCGCCGCCTCTTCCGCGCTCGAGTATGAACCAAGCCAGATGCGTGATCGGCGCCGTGGTTCGCGGATCTCCGACACCCACCGCCCCCACTTGCGCTGCCGGACGCCCTTGTAACGGGGGGTGCGCGCCGCGAGCTCCTGAAAGCTCGGCGGAGGGCAGCGGTGGGGGGAGGCGGCGGCGGAAACAGGCGCAGGGGGGGCGCACGGCGGAACAGGGGCGGAGGATGCGGTGGGCGCGGGGAGCGGTGCTTCGTGCGGTGGCGGAGGGAACGGGCTGAACGGCGACTGGGGCACGGCGGCGGACCAACCAGGAACTGACACGTCAATGGCGGCAGCATCCGGCCCGGATATCACCTCCCCCACAAGAGCCTTCCCGCCAGGCACGTCAACGCTGACGATGCGCGCCGGTTCAATCTTGATTTGCTTCATGGGCGGCAGAATCACCACGCGAGGCGCGCTGTTCCCCCGCATTCGGCGCTTGCCGATCATCTGATGTCGGGGCGCCTCGACCCCGATCATTTGCGCGCCGGAGGGGAGCGGCTCGGATTCGGGACGCGCTTGATGAGGCCAGGCTACTGATAAGGTATCGTAAAAACCGGTAGACGACTCGAGCATTGGGGAGGATTGAGACGAATCCAGCAAGAGAGGCGCGACGGGCGAAGCGGCGGGGGAGGCGACATGAGAACGACGATGGACGTGCGACAAAGGCGACGAATCAGAATGCGGCAGCGATTGCCCTGGCGACTGCGACGAACGGGCGTAATGCGAGGAAGCCGGGTCGCCGTAGTGTGCGGCACGGTGGTGATGGGGGGACATGCGAGGCAGGCAAAGAGCGGATTCCGTCATCCATGCACTAGCGACGATAAACTCAAACGCGAATTCCAACGACCAAAGCCCTAAACTCGTGAATACTGCGTGTGGGTGGCAGGGCCACGATGCTGCACCTAACCTGCAGTGGAGTGGTGTGGCTGGACCAAATGAGGAACAGAGGAGTGGGACGGTGGCGAGGTGATGGCGTTGCCTGGAGTGACGCAAGGTCTGGGCCGTTCAAGCGTGACGCGAGGTGCAGAAGAAAATGGTGGAAGTGAGGGCGTCAGATTTCTCAAGAGCACTGGCGAACATATGACACCTTCGTAGGATGGCGAATTACTAGCGAAAACGTTTCGTCAGACATCTTCATGAAAATTGCAGTTACAATCGACTTCTGCGAACAACTTCGCCGAGTTGGTGTGTGAGCGACATCGCAGGGACTGTGGAAGCTGTAAGCGGAAACTGCATGGAAGGAAGGCACAGTACGTCACGTTTTCGGAGGAATTCGGTGCTGGTGTGCTGCCGGGTCGCCTTTGGTCTCACATCACACGGTTTGGCTTGCCTGCCAAAGCAAATTGGTGGTTTTTTACTACAAGGGGGACAGACAAAAAATTATCCACCAATCAGGTCTTTCTTCGGTGCTGTACTGCTGTACAGTTGGAACAGACATGTGTCGCTGTCTTGACGGAAGCGGTCTTTAAAAAAAACTGAACTGTGGGGCCACCGCTGGAGATCTGGCGTGTGTCGGAAAAGATCTTGCAGCGAAGTGATGGCCTGGATTTATCGCATTCGTTTTCGCTAACCGAAGCTCCCTTCGCCATCTCGGTAGCGGCGCCACCACCGCTCCCTAGAATGGGTGAGGCAAATCGTTCATTAGAAAATTAATTTGAAGTGTACATGCCAGGTTAGTCACTAAAGCAAACACAGTAGTCCACAAGGACATGACTAGGCTCATAATCTGGCGTCTGACCATCAGCCAAAGGCAGAAAGCCATGGCACACAGGGCAAGTAGGACGGCCATCTTCATCAGCCTCTTCTTGCCCTGTGCTCTCCCGGTCAACATCCGGCCTAGCCGTTGCACGTCTCTGCCTCCTCTTCCTATCCCGTCGTATTCTCACCCACTCCGACTCTTCCTCCTCCGCATCCGCCAGCACATACTCTGACTGCATCACCTCAGGCGCTGAAAACGCCTGCACGTCAAACCCATCCAGAGGTGGAAACTCAGGTGATGCCGCACCCACGCCTGACGGGCCTTCCCCTTCCCCATCACCTGCCCCTGCCTCTGCCAGCCCAGCAGCTGCACTGGAGGCAGCGGCAGCAGCAATGCCCCCAGCAGGCATGACAATGCCGTAGTCGGGGCTGCCAGGAAACTCATCCTCCTCCGGCCACCCTGCCATGCTCCCCTCCCTGCCACTGCCCTCTGACCCCCTCGCCCTCACTGCTGCTGACCCAACCACTGATCCAATACCCACCCCCACCCCACCCACCCCATCCCCACTGCTTCTCTCTGTAGCCCCCTGTGCTCTTGTCCCCTGCACGCCCCACGTCACTGTCCGCCCCCTCCCTCCCCCTGCCACCTGGCCCTGTCCGTCACCCTGTCTGTCCCTTCCGCCAGCGCGCACACCTCTGTCCACCCGCCCATCTGCCTGTGCAGGCCGAGCAGCAACCCTGACGTCCTCTGAAAACGAACGCGGCCGCACCATGACCCTCCGCTGCTCTTGCTGCTGCTGCTGCTGCTGCTGATGCTGCCGCTGCTGCCCCACCCTCTGCTGCTCCACGTCAGCAACCATGAACCCGCCAGGTGGCAGCGCACCAGAGGCCGCAGCGTGGCGACACGCCATGTCAGCCTTGCAGAGCTGCACGGCATCAAAGATCCGCACAAAGAACCACTGCCGCCCAATCAGGTCTGGGATCCCCGCCCGTGTGAGTCTCTGCATGACTGCATCACTGGGGTTGGCAAGGGCCAGGCGCACCCCCCTCGCCTGGTACTCCAGGCAGATCTCTCTCAACGCATGGCACGCTGCTGAGTCCACTGCATGTACTGACGTCATGTCTATAATCACGTACTCTATAGGCACGTTCGTCGCACCCAATGCTCTTCCTTTTGCCGCAGCTCCTCTCCCCCCCTGCTGTTCCCTTGCCGACGATTCTACAAGTGACACCAGTGCCTCGCCTGCCCCCGCTCCCTCCTCCACGTCACAATCTCCGCTTCCCCCACTGCTCCCGCTCCCCCCTCCCCCACCCCTGCTGCTCCCACCGCTCCTGAAGCTGCTGGTGCGGCCGTCTAAGCTCCCGTCGCTGGCTCGCCGAGCCAGGCTGCTAGGACTGGTGGAGGATCGGGCAGAGCTGGGGGTGCTGTTGCGGGTGCTGGCGGCAGGTGTGGCGACGGCGGTGGCAGTGGGGGAGGAGCGTGTGGGGGTGGTGGCGGGGGTGGGGGCGGGAAGGGGCGTTCTGCTGGTGAGCCCCTCGTAGCGCCTTAGCACGTCCCGCAGGTTGCTCACATTCGCAAAGTACCTGGGGGAGATGGGGGGGAGGGGTGGAAGGGAGAGCACCCAGAGCAAGTTAGCCAGCAGATGGACGGATAGAGACACCAGGCTACGTTGCAAACGAATCAGGAAACCAGAGTGGGTGGTGTAAGCCTGTGAAAGCAGGGCGTGGGTGAGGGTGCGAGGGTGCGATGGTGTTCTCACAGGGGCGAGGCAAGGGGTGGCTCACAGGTGGGAGTGGCATTTGATGACGGCAATCCCAGGGGTGACCTTGGCATCAGGGTACTGCTGCACTGTGCGGTACACTGTGGTGCCAGGCAGCCGCCCCAGCTCCTCACACTGCGCGTTTGCCGACTCATTTATGACGAAGCCGAGGGATATCACCACCGCCACCATCACCCCTGTCTGTATGACAATGTATGGGGCAGGGAAGACGAGGGGAGGAAGGAAGGGCGAAAGGGATGGGTTGGTAAGAGCAACGCAGCCGTCCCAGCTCCTCACACTGCGCGTTGGGCGACTCGTTGATCATGAAGCCCAAGGATATCACCACCACCATCACCCCCGTCTGTTTGGCAAAGGGGTTGGGGGGAAAACAAAGTGGAGGGAGGAAGGGCGAGAGTGGGGGTTGATAAGAGCAACGCTCCTCACAATGCCCGATGGCCGACTCGTTCATCTCAAAGCCGAGTGATATCACCACCGCCACCGTCAACCATGTCTGTGTGCCATGGAGTGGGGAGGGGAAGAAGGGCGCAGGGAGGCGGGACGGGGATGCGTGGATTATGAAACAACAACTAGGTGACAATGGAAGGCAGGGAAATGACTCCCTCCAGCTGCATTCTCGTCTGATGGGTGGGATAGGGACTGTAGACGCCCGTGTGATTGACACAGAGGAACGCAGCAGATCCGAACCTGAAGGCAGGAGGTGAGCGCACCTGGATGCCGAAGAAGAGCGTGCCGCAGAAGGCGAGCATCCACACGACAAAGTCCTTGGGATCCACTCGCAGGAGAAACGCCGCCTCCTCGTAGTCCACCAGCCCACACACCGATGACACCAGGATGGCTGTTGGCGAGAGTTGGGGAGGGGGAAGAGGGAAGGTATGTTAGGTAGAGCATTGTAATGATGCTGATGGCGGTGGCGATGGTGGTTGCGATGTTGATGATGGTGATGGTCCACGCGCAGCAGAAAGGCTGCCTCCTCGTAGTCCACCAGCCCACATACGGATGGCTGTTGGCATGGGGAAGGGCGGCGTGGAATGTTATATGAGGCTTGTAATGATTCGTGGTTGTGGTGGTGGTGGTGGGGGAGGGGGACGAGGGTAGTGGGGGGTGGTTCGTGGGGGAGGGGGGTAGTTGGGGTGGGGGGGGGGGTCGTGGGGTAGTGACAAGAACCATGAGCATGGACTCACCACAGGCACACATCTATCGCCCCACCCTCCCTTTCCTTTTGCACCCCTCCCCACGTCTCACCTCCGAGCACGGGCAGGGCAGGAACTGGAAGAGGGGCGTGAGCAACATGAGGGCGAGCAGCACGAGCAGCACGGCATGCATGCACGCCTCATACCACCATACCTCCACTCCTCCGTCCCCATCCCCATCCCTCCTGACCCCCCCAGTCCCCCAAACCCCCCACCCCCCAATCCCCACATCCCCACGAATACCTCCGAGCACAGGCAGGGGCAGGAACTGGAAGAGGGGCGTGAGGAACATGAGGGTGAGCAGCACGAGCAGCACGGACACCACGCCCGCCATGCCGGTGGCGGCGCCACAGTCGTCACTCACTGCCGACCGCGAGAAGCTGCCGCCCGTGGGGAACGCCTGGAAGCACGAGCCCACTGTGTTCGCCAGGCCTAGAGCTGGGGTTAAGGGCAGGGGGGAAAAGGGGACGAGGGGAAGGTGGGCGAGTGGGGAAGTGGGAATGAACGAGCGAGAAGCTGCCGCCCGTTGGGAACGCCTGGAAGCATCAGCCCACTGTGTTCGCCAGGCCTAGAGCTGGGGTTAAGGGCAGGGGGGAAAAGGGGAGGAGGGGAAGGTGGGCGAGTGGGGAAGTGGGAATGAACGAGCGAGAAGCTGCCGCCCGTTGGGAACGCCTGGAAGCATCAGCCCACTGTGTTCGCCAGACCCAGGGCTGGGGTGGGGGGAGAGTGTGAAGGGAGTGTGTGGGCGAGGGGGAACGGAGCGAGTGAGAAGTGGAAGGGAAGGAAACCCTAACCGAGAGAGAAGCTGCTGCCTGTTGGGAACGCGTGAAGCACGAACCCACTGCATTCGCCAGGCCCAGGGCTGCAAGTGGGGGTGACGAGGGCTTGGGAACGTGGATGGGGGAGGAAGGGAGTGAGCGGGTGGGTAAGTGGAAGGGATGGGACGGAACGAGCGAGCGGCGGAGTGCACGAGGTGTGAACGCTGCTTGTCCTTGATGCACATCCTTCACCCTCACTGCCATCCCACCACCTGCTCCACATACACATCCCCTTCCCCTTTGGCGCCCTCCCAAGCAACACTCCCCTCGCCTCTCTTCCACATCCTCGTGCATGTACCCATTCCTCGCCTCTCTTCCACATCCTCGTGCATGTACCCATTCCTCGCCTCTCTTCCACATCCTCGTGCATGTACCCATTCCTCGCCTCTCTTCCACATCCTCGTGCATGTACCCATTCCTCGCCTCTCTTCCACATCCTCGTGCATGTACCCATTCCTCGCCTCTCTTCCACATCCTCGTGCATGTACCCATTCCTCGCCTCTCTTCCACATCCTCGTGCATGTACCCATTCCTCGCCTCTCTTCCACATCCTCGTGCATGTACCCATTCCTCGCCTCTCTTCCACATCCTCGTGCATGTACCCATTCCTCGCCTCTCTTCCACATCCTCGTGCATGTACCCATTCCTCGCCTCTCTTCCACATCCTCGTGCATGTACCCATTCCTCGCCTCTCTTCCACATCCTCGTGCATGTACCCATTCCTCGCCTCTCTTCCACATCCTCGTGCATGTACCCATTCCTCGCCTCTCTTCCACATCCTCGTGCATGTACCCATTCCTCGCCTCTCTTCCACATCCTCGTGCATGTACCCATTCCTCGCCTCTCTTCCACATCCTCGTGCATGTACCCATTCCTCGCCTCTCTTCCACATCCTCGTGCATGTACCCATTCCTCGCCTCTCTTCCACATCCTCGTGCATGTACCCATTCCTCGCCTCTCTTCCACATCCTCGTGCATGTACCCATTCCTCGCCTCTCTTCCACATCCTCGTGCATGTACCCATTCCTCGCCTCTCTTCCACATCCTCGTGCATGTACCCATTCCTCGCCTCTCTTCCACATCCTCGTGCATGTACCCATTCCTCGCCTCTCTTCCACATCCTCGTGCATGTACCCATTCCTCGCCTCTCTTCCACATCCTCGTGCATGTACCCATTCCTCGCCTCTCTTCCACATCCTCGTGCATGTACCCATTCCTCGCCTCTCTTCCACATCCTCGTGCATGTACCCATTCCTCGCCTCTCTTCCACATCCTCGTGCATGTACCCATTCCTCGCCTCTCTTCCACATCCTCGTGCATGTACCCATTCCTCGCCTCTCTTCCACATCCTCGTGCATGTACCCATTCCTCGCCTCTCTTCCACATCCTCGTGCATGTACCCATTCCTCGCCTCTCTTCCACATCCTCGTGCATGTACCCATTCCTCGCCTCTCTTCCACATCCTCGTGCATGTACCCATTCCTCGCCTCTCTTCCACATCCTCGTGCATGTACCCATTCCTCGCCTCTCTTCCACATCCTCGTGCATGTACCCATTCCTCGCCTCTCTTCCACATCCTCGTGCATGTACCCATTCCTCGCCTCTCTTCCACATCCTCGTGCATGTACCCATTCCTCGCCTCTCTTCCACATCCTCGTGCATGTACCCATTCCTCGCCTCTCTTCCACATCCTCGTGCATGTACCCATTCCTCGCCTCTCTTCCACATCCTCGTGCATGTACCCATTCCTCGCCTCTCTTCCACATCCTCGTGCATGTACCCATTCCTCGCCTCTCTTCCACATCCTCGTGCATGTACCCATTCCTCGCCTCTCTTCCACATCCTCGTGCATGTACCCATTCCTCGCCTCTCTTCCACATCCTCGTGCATGTACCCATTCCTCGCCTCTCTTCCACATCCTCGTGCATGTACCCATTCCTCGCCTCTCTTCCACATCCTCGTGCATGTACCCATTCCTCGCCTCTCTTCCACATCCTCGTGCATGTACCCATTCCTCGCCTCTCTTCCACATCCTCGTGCATGTACCCATTCCTCGCCTCTCTTCCACATCCTCGTGCATGTACCCATTCCTCGCCTCTCTTCCACATCCTCGTGCATGTACCCATTCCTCGCCTCTCTTCCACATCCTCGTGCATGTACCCATTCCTCGCCTCTCTTCCACATCCTCGTGCATGTACCCATTCCTCGCCTCTCTTCCACATCCTCGTGCATGTACCCATTCCTCGCCTCTCTTCCACATCCTCGTGCATGTACCCATTCCTCGCCTCTCTTCCACATCCTCGTGCATGTACCCATTCCTCGCCTCTCTTCCACATCCTCGTGCATGTACCCATTCCTCGCCTCTCTTCCACATCCTCGTGCATGTACCCATTCCTCGCCTCTCTTCCACATCCTCGTGCATGTACCCATTCCTCGCCTCTCTTCCACATCCTCGTGCATGTACCCATTCCTCGCCTCTCTTCCACATCCTCGTGCATGTACCCATTCCTCGCCTCTCTTCCACATCCTCGTGCATGTACCCATTCCTCGCCTCTCTTCCACATCCTCGTGCATGTACCCATTCCTCGCCTCTCTTCCACATCCTCGTGCATGTACCCATTCCTCGCCTCTCTTCCACATCCTCGTGCATGTACCCATTCCTCGCCTCTCTTCCACATCCTCGTGCATGTACCCATTCCTCGCCTCTCTTCCACATCCTCGTGCATGTACCCATTCCTCGCCTCTCTTCCACATCCTCGTGCATGTACCCATTCCTCGCCTCTCTTCCACATCCTCGTGCATGTACCCATTCCTCGCCTCTCTTCCACATCCTCGTGCATGTACCCATTCCTCGCCTCTCTTCCACATCTTGGCGACGGCAATCGTCTCCAGATACGCCGCACTCGCCATGCTCTTGCCCTTCATCCCCCCATCCCAACCCCTCCCCTCCCCTCCCCCAACCCACCACATCCACATGCGCGTACCACCAACAAGCCCTTTCACCCTCCCCTTCGCCCTTTTTTTCCTCTCTCTCCCCGCAACCCCCAGCCCCCAGGCCAAAGCCCCCACGCACCAACGAGCTCCTGGTTGGCGTCAACGGAGTAGCCATTCTTAGCAGCCAGCGTCTTGGCAATCGCAATGGTCTCCAGATACGCCGCACTCGCGATCACCAGCGCGGGCGACACGAGGTCGCGCCAGCGCGCCCAGGGGAACGCGGAGAAGGCTGCGGGGAGCCCCGAGGGCACGAGGCCCGTGACGCGGATGTGCCAGGGGTTGCGCAGCAGGTATATGGTCGCCGTGCCCATGGCTGCTGCCAGGATGGGACCCATCGTGCGGAGAATGCGCAGCCGCTTGTGCCGCTTGCCCAGGTGCTGGGGGGGGAGAGCGGAGGTGGGGGGGTGGAGAACGGGGAGAGCGAGGGGGGGTTGACGCGGGTGTGCCAGGGGTTGCGCAGCAGGTAGATGGCCGCCGTGCCCATGGCTGCTGCCAGGATGGGGCCGAGGGTTCGCAGGATGCGCAGGCGCTTGTGACGCTTGCCCAGGTGCTGGGGGGTGAGGGGGCGCGCGGGGGAGGGGGGGAAGGGGGACATGGGCGCCAGGATGGGGCCGAAAGTTTGGGAGATGCGCTGTGCTTGTTTCGCTTGCCTAGGTGCGGGGTGGGAGGGGGAGACGTGGGAAGAGCGGGAAAGGGGGATCGGGAGATGGGGATGGATGTGAAAGCGTTCGAGCGTGAAGGGGCTGAGGAAGGGCGGTGGTGGCACAGCGGCGAGGCGAGAGCGTCAGCAGCCAGGTAGGGTGAGAAACTGGAAGCAGGCGGCTGGGTGGTGGAAGAAACAAACATGTGAAACAACAGTGCCACCGAGCAGTGCGGGCAGGCACGAGAGAGCGCGGGAGCACACCTTCATGATGAGCAGGAAGGCGAGCGCCAGCACCCCCATGACAAGCGAGGGCACGTGCGTGGTCTTGAGATTGACGAAGATGTCGTAGAGTATCATGTGCATGGTCTCGTGGCGCGTGGTGTAACCTAAGAAGTAGCGCATCTGCATGAGCCCCAGCATTATGGCCGCGCCGCTGCTGAAGCCGGAGACCACCGCGTGTGAGAGGAAGCGCACGACCCAGCCCAGGCGGAGGAGGCCAGCCAGCAGCTGCAGCGCGCCGAGCATGAGCGAGAGAAGCAGCGTGAGGCCCAGGTAGAGGCGCTGCTCCGCGGGGTCGTGCGAGTCCGGGTCCGCCATCTGCCTGATGCGACAGCGGCGGGGGAGCATGAGTGGGAGGCGGGAAATGGGGAGGGGGTTTGCGGGAAAGGGTGGGTGGGGACAGGAAGTGGGTGAGGGTGAGTGGAGGAGAGGAGTCGAGAGGAGGACTTGAGGTGCATGGAGAAACGAGGGGGGGATGGCAGAGGAACGCGATGAGGTGCAAGGGAATGACTGCTGCGGCAGCGCGCGGTCAGGAGCAGCGCAGCAGCAGCGCGCGGTCAGGAGCAGCGCAGCAGCAGCGAGCACTCACTTGATGGCTTCGTTCACCAGCAGCGACACGAGCGACGTGGGACCCAGCGCCAGCTGCCGCGAGCTGCCGAATATGCTGCGCGCCATGGGGAGCATGCGGGGAGAGAACGGGGAGAGAGCGGAGAGGGCGCGGGGAGAGAATGGGGAGTGGGGTTGGTGCATGAGAAGGGGGTCATGATGAACAGAGCTCGCGGAAAAGGAAACAGGGCACGGCGCACCATAATACGACGCACGCCTTAACTTCTCATCCAGCCTCTCGTAATGCATAACAAAGATCGTTCAGCAATGAGCCACGTGGCCGGGTACCCGTCCTTCACAGACCAACAGACAAGGCACGGCACGGCCCGGCCTGCTAGGTTATTCCCTGCTGCTGTCTGGAAATGTATGGGGTCTACGGACGGACCTATAGACAAGGCACGGCACGAAGCCGGTGTAGAGACCGTATATGGACGGCAGGCCCGCGACGCGCGCGTACGCCATGCCTTGCGGGATGATCATGAACCCCACCGACAGCCCCGCCACCATGTCGCCTTTCAGGTCGCGCCGCACGTCGTACGACAGCAGCCAATCCAGGCACGGCACAGCGTCGCGCACCAGCCGCCACGTGCCGGCGAGCGACGCGGAAAAGCGGAGGGACGCGAAGGGGTTGAGCTGTGAAAGCCATGACTGCTCCCGGCTCTGGCCGAACCCGAAGCGGAGAATGCGGACGGTGGGGCCCACTGAGTTCTGGCGCCGCGGTGCAGTCTGCGAGCCGCTGTTAGGGTGGTCCTTAAGGAGAGGCGTCTCGAGCAATGTCACGTCACGGAACGAGCTCGACGGCCCTATGGCTTTAGCGGCGCGAGACATGATCAACGGCGTGGTGCGTAACTGGGGCTAGCCGAGTGGATATTACATTTCCTGCTAACGAAACTCGATGCCCTAGTAAATAAGGACGTGTTGCAATTGCCGGTGCACTGCATCGGCTCGGGACGAATGGACGTCTCCAAGCAAGCGGGACGACAACCCCGGGCAAAAAAAGTTTCGAGATAATGAATAATAGAGTTATTTGCCAAGTTTGTACTAGGGCATCAAATATTTTTGCGCGTTTTCTGTAAACTTTTTACGGCCTCGTCTTGCCCGAAGCCTTTCTGAACCCGTGCCCCGAGCCGAGCCGATGCAGTGCACCGCGAATAGCAACACGTCCTAACTTTCCTTAGTCCATCCCTCCCTACCTAATTCAGACTCTCTGCTGTCGCCTTCATGTAGGCTCGAAAGAAGTGGTGGAGCGTGTTACACCTCCCCTTTGAGCCAGGTTCCACTCCAGATTCCATGAACAATGAATTGAATGGGCATCACTGCATTGCAGTGCAGTGGTGGCCTGACCTGATCATCTCCTGACAGGCTGGGCGAAAGGTCAGGAACACCCGCCAGGAGGCTGGGCGGAGGCCCTTGGATTGGTGGCGGTGGAGGAAGCTTGGTCCGCTCCGCATTGTCAATCCGGGGAAGGCGGGGAAGAGGGGAAGGGGTGGTGGAGAGGAGAGGAGAGGAGAGGAGAGGAAGGAGGGGGGGGGACGTATGGGAACCAGGCGCAGGTGCGCGTGCGGAAATCTGCTAGGACCGCAATCTGCTCGCTCGCACGTCTTTCCATGGTCCGCGGGTTCAATCCCCTCGAACAAACAACTCTGGCAGTGTTGCAGGGTGGCCTGGCCGTTCGACGAATCCGGAAAGGCCATGACGACGGGATGCCTTTTGATTGGATAAGCCGCAAATTTCGTTTACAAAAGGGCATCCCACTACCCTATTCTCGATAATTTCACACCCCTTAAGCGCACACCCTGGGGTAAATACTCTCGGTTAAACGTTTAAGTAGGGTAGCTAGCAACGATTGTAGACTATCGGAGGAGGGGGTCTCGCAACCTTCTCGCGAATGGAAAAAAGAACCCGGAGTTCCAAGGGCAGCCATCCACCCTACTACTCACTCGGAAAATTAAGTGCTAGACTCGATAACTACCCTCGTCAATCCCTTTTTTTTTTATGAATGTTAATAGTGATAGTGCATACATCCTCAGTCGTAACTGATAAACTGGAGCGGATAGTCCCTGCCTTCTATCTGAAAACGGGGTCTCCTCTCCATGATGCACCTACGGTGGTTGTCTAATCGTCCTTGGGTTGCTCCAGATGGAGAGAAAACCTTCGCTCCACGTGGCCTTATCTCCTGACTCATTGAACCGCCTCACCGCCGCCCGTTCGTCGTCCTTCAAGTCCCTCCACGGGTCATTGCCCTGTTTCGTCACGCCTTTCTTACGTGCCAAACGTGTCTGCTCTGTCCGGTAAACCTGGGCATGCATCACAAAATCGCGGATCGCCCCCCGGGCCACCTTCTTGCGCTGGAACCTTTCCCCTTTCCACACCATGTTGCATCTCGCCAGCCAGATGTGCCGGAAAGTTGTAGCCACCAGTGTATTCTTCGGGAAGCCTGACCGTGTGACCCCCTCCTCGAAAAGCAAGTCGCCCAGCGAGCTCGGAGTACCCGTCCGATCTAGCAGCTGCAGCGAGCGGAGCAGCGCGCCGATTACAGGCTGCACCAGCGGGCAACTGAACATGCAGTGCTCTAGGGTTTCAGGCTCCCCACAGTGCGAGCACCGAGCCCCTTCTCCCAAGAACTTCAGCCTGCTTCCCACCTGCAGGTTCAAGCTGTGCATCCTCAACAGTACATCCCTTGCCCTGGTAGGCACCGCCAGTGACTCTCTTCTGTTTCCCACCTTCGCCCAGTCAATCTTCTTCCCCCACCTTTCCTCCCACTCGGTTCGCTTTCTTGACATTGCTGCCGGGCCTGTAAGCGCATGTCGGATCGCCTTCGCCTTCACCGGCTGCCCTTCTTCATCTAGTATACCAGACTGGCGCAACCTCGTCAGCGGTGCGCCCAGCACGCCTAGGACCCTGCCGCCCCTGACCGCCACAGGCTCCACTCTCTTTACATCGAAAACGGCTTTAACTGGCCTACGTCGCTCCCGCACCTTACGCTTGATAGTGTTACGTGTCCGCTGTCCTGCACCCCTGTCACCCTCCAGTACAGATGCTCTTGCGTCCGTGGGAGGAACGACCTTACTACCTCCGCCGCTGCCGCCACCGCTTCCGCCGTTCTGCTTGCTGCAATCATCTTCTTCCACCCCTCTGACATCGCCGCATATGCCATCAGTGCCCATCTGGCCGCAGCTACTCCTCCCAGCTCCGTTCTCAGAGTCTCTTTGCCCTTCGCCTTGTGTACTCCCCCCGGCCCTTCCTCCATCAAGGCGCCGAAGTCCACCGTTCTGATTCCCTCTGTGCCCTGTTGATTCCCATAGGGGCTCTTCCCCCTGAACATAACTTTGCGGTTGAAACACAACTTCGCTTGCTCCACCTCCCAGCCGGTCTTCGGCTCCGGCAGCTCCGCGTATGGGGACTCCCAGAAAGCCTCTACCGCCGCTTTCCACCTCTGGCTGCCACCCGGCCAGTGCTTCGCTGCAGATGGGTCGGCAAAGAGCGTCGCCGCACCTTGAGGTAACGCCGCTGCCTTTTCCGCCAGCCACCGCTTTGTGGCGTCGCTTTCCGCAATCAGCTTCCCGACCATCCGGATCGCCATACTGTCAATTCTCTTTTTGGGGTCTATCAGCCCCAAACCCCCTTCCTTCTTTGGCAGGCGCGCCAACTCTCCGCTCCACAATACGAATGTCTTATCCACCGTGGCCTCCCCGCTGGAGACGTAATTGTCGCACGTCTTCTGGATGTGCTTCCACAGCTCCTCCGGCGGCGGGTAAACTTGTGCCTAGAAAATGAAAATCGGCATGATGTAGGCGTTTATCAATGTCACCCTTGCCGCTGTCAACAGATGCTGACTTTCCCACTTGACCAGCTCCGTTTTCCCTCTTTCCCACGCTTTCCCCAGGACGGCTCCGCGTCCCCGTTTGGTGTGATCCATATCCCGAGCAGGCGTTCCGGTACTCCGTCCGCCGCCCATTTGAATTTCACCCCCTCTGCTCCGCTCTTCCCCTTGTTCCTGCCCAGCGGCATGACCACCGACTTCTCTTTGTTCGTGCGCAGGCCTGACAACACCCCGAACTGCTCCAGGACTGCCTCTGCCTCTTTCAGCTGCTCTTCTCCCTTCTCCGCGTACCCAACATATGCTAACTCCGCTGCTCCCTCCTCGCTCACCCCCAGCTTCCTTTCTTTAATCGTTTGACACAGCGGCTCGAGGGCACACAGGAAGAGGTACGGGGCCAGCGGGCACCCTTGTCGCACCCCCCTCTGCATCTCCACCCTCTCCCCCACCCAGCCGTTAATCGCCAGCCTCGTCCCGGAGCCCTGATGCAGCCCCTTGGTCCATCTTATGAAGTCCGCCGGTATGCCCAATTTGTCCATTGCCTTAAAAAGGTACGACCTTGACACAGTGTCGTACGCCTTCTGGAAATCGACCATGAGGAGGAACCAGTCTTCCCCCCCGTTGTCCGCAGCTTCTACCGCGTCCGCTACGACCGAGACCGCATCCGCCAAGCTCCTCCCAGGTATGAACCCGTGCTGCTCCTCTGATATCACCAGATGTAACTCCTTCAACCTGTTTGCCAGTAGCTTCGCCAGCACCTTGTACGCCGTGCTTAAGAGCGTGATAGGTCTGTAGTTCCCTAACAGCTCCGTCGGCCCTTTCTTGTGCAGCAGGACTGTGACTGCAGTGGTGATTGACTCGTCCAGGACCCCCGACCGCTCGAACCTCTTGGCGAAATCAACCAGAGGCCCGCCCAGAAGATCCCAGTGGGCCTTGAAGAGTTCCGGTGGTAAACCGTCCTGGCCCGGTGACTTGCCCCTCGGCAGGCCCGCCAGCGCCTCCTTAACCTCCGCCTCCGACCACGGGGCGCGCAACCTCGCCGCTGCCTCTTCCGGTAAGCACCTCGCTACCTCTATCGCCTCTCGGTCTAGCTGCTCCGTCTCCTCCTGCACCGCGAATGCTTCCTGGAAGTGCTCTGCAGCTGCCTTCAGTACTTCCTGCGAGCCATAAAACCTCTTCCCCCTGTGCTCCACCTCTTTAATCACCGTCTTCTCTTTCCTCATCCTGACCTTTGCCGACAGGTACGGCGACGGGATTTCACCGTGCAGCTCCAAGTCCAGCCCGGCTAACACCTGCAATCGCTCCGTCTCGCTCTCCTGGTAACCTTCCAGTCGGGCCTCCATGGTCAGCAGCTTCTCCTTTATACTCGCTTCTGTCGGGCCCGCCATAACCAAGTGGCTCAGCCTTGTAACCTCGGTCTCCAGGTGTCGTCTGGTCGCCATGACACGCTTCCGTTCTTCTCTCTCGTGCGACCGCAGGGCCGCACTCAGACGCGGAATGGCACGTTCCAGCGTCCGCTCGCCATGTCCCGTCGGCGTCCCCATGATCTTCTGCAGCACCGTCCTAACTCCCCTCCGGTTCACCCGTGTTGCGTGCAGCCTCCAGATACCAGGCCCGCTCTCGTGAGACGACTTGAACGCGAGGCTCACGTGGATCGCGAAACGGTGGTCCGACAATTTCTTCGGCACCCACGCGTGGCTCGCCTCCACCAGCTGCCCCAGCAACGACGTCGACACCAAAGCCCTGTCGATCCTGGACTTGGTACCTGACGGCCTCGCCTTGAATGTGTACTGCTTCTCGCCCGGGTTGAGCGCCCGGAAGGCGTCCCTGAGGTCGAATCCCGACCATGCCTCCAAAAAACGCTGATTCTCCCTGCCTGAGCCCGTGTTCGATGACCTGTCCAGGTCCGGATCCGCTATGATGTTGAGGTCCCCCACCAGCACCAAGTGAGACCCCGCCGGCTGCGCCCTTGCAAACGGAAGCAGGTGCTCTGTGTGGAATTTCGTCCGCTTCCCGGGCTGCGCTGGGAGGTACGCCGCGACGAGCCTGAACGGCGTCGCTCCACCTTCCACCGTCATCCCTAGCAGTCTCCCTGTCTCATGCGTCATCACCTCTGTGAACCGTAAGTGCTTCTTAAAAGCCACAATCGCCACCCCTCCTGCACCTTTCGCCGTGCTCGCCGTTGCCCATGCTGTTGGTTTTAAGTTCTTTCCAGAAGTTATGGTCCTCCTTGATCCTTGTATCTGACATCACCACTACATCCGCTGCCTTCTTAAGCCACATGCGGTGTTTGACTCTTTTGCCGTTAATCCTTGGGTGTCCGTCACATCGAGCCAGAAACAGCCCATTCAGAGTTCAACTGCTCTTGCAAGGACATTCAGACAGCATAACTGCATACTCATAAACTAACTAGCTTGTTTTCATGCTTAGTAGCATTATCACACTCGTGCATACAAGCATGAACCTACGCTTACTTCTGGCACCACATTTCTAGATTCACTAGCCAGCCTACGGTGCCTACGCTTACTACTCCTCAAGCACCTCCTACAGCTGACAATGCATGCGTCTCCATCTCGGATGTTCCAGCTTGGGTGGCACTTGCTTTGGGTGCTGATACTGACTCGTGAGCAGCATCTGCTTTCAATGGAACCACCAGCACTGGACCAGGAGCATGGTGCACACAGTGCGAGCTCACACTCCCGAGGGCCATGCTGTGAAGAGAGAGGGACGTGGCACAAGGATGTGGGTGGGAAGGAAAGTAAGACGGAGCTCCAACAATTCAACAACAAAACTCCAGCGCTTTTCGTTAAAACCACTCCACAGGAAGACTCACCGTTTGAGCAGGCTCATGCCACGCGTCCCCATGACCATGAGATCCGCGTCAACGCTCTGCACGTGACTGGCCAGCACATCCCGAGGGTCGCCCTTGAGATCCACGCCACTCACCGCCACACCCTCGTCCATTCCCCGCTTCCTGCCCTCTTCCTTCACCACCGCAGCACACTTCTGCAGCAGCTGCTGGGCCTTGGCGTGCCGCTCGTGCTCCATGCGCTGGTGGTACTCCTGCCATGAGAACAGTGAGTCCGTGCAGAACTCTGTTGGACGCTCGCGGGGTAGAGGCATGGAGGACAGGGGAGTGTAGCAATACCCCGGATCTGGCAGGATGATTAGTTACACAGGAACAGGTAGATTGCGGTATTGCGTAGCTGTAACATGCAGCAAACCATACAACATACCTCACGTTTCCATTCAGGCAAGAAACTGCACACAAGAGTGTCATAACAGTCATTATAGAGAGAAAAGGTAGTTTTTCTTCCCAGGAAAACTTTCTGCCTGCTTCGTGGGGGGTGGGATTACCATTAGGCGACTTGTGCGCGTGCATGATGTGGAACTCCTTAGCCGTGCGCGCGAAGAGCCGCACCGCCTCCCGAAGCACGTGCATGCTGTTGTCGCTGCCGTCCACCGCCACGGCTACCTTCACGTTCCTCTGCACCATCGCCGCACACGCGCACCCACCGCCATAGTAGTAAGGTACTTACAAGCGAAGGAAAAGCGGATGGAACTAAACCATAGGGGAAAAGAAGCGAAGAGAAGTACCTGAGTGCCCATGTTCGACTTATGGAACCAAGAAAGTTCATCCGATTCAGCAACCGCAGTGCGTGAATGCTATCCAAATACCGCATACGATTAACCTCAAGATTAGTGATGCAGCCTGTATATCTTGAATCGTCGAGTTCTTTCTACCCTGTGTTCTTGAGAACAGTGGAATAGCCAGCTGCAGGAAGCGGTACGCTTCATGAATCGTAATCGCAACGCCATGCTGCGCCCCGTCCCGACAGCACACGAACAGTGGTGCTCGACACGCGGCAAGCGAACGATGTTTGAGGTGACGAGGGTATGCGATGGAGGAGGTCAATGGGATTGCTGATGCTTGGTTGGCTTTGAAAATGTACTTGCTACGGTGCTGCCCTACAGTGTGTGGGTTCAGTGGTTCGAGAATAATGAACAAAACTTTCTAGACAGTGAATACATAAATCAAATTCAGGCATATTGGGCACTGAATGTAAACGGATTAGGTCCACTTAAATCTATGTTTTTGTCAGAAAGAAGCTTCAGTGATTCATTAATGGATGCCTCGGGAAGTTTAGGCGTCCTAGAAAGGAGCCGGACAGTGACCTGCAACACACACAAAAATAAAGAAAACAATATGAAGAAACAATTGATGTATGTTGCAACCAAGAGGTGATTATGCAGGTTATCAATCCTCACCTGACCATCTTGATCTGATGACAAGCCTGGCGTGGACTGGTAGCACGAGTACACAAGTGCATGTGAGTACCCCTTAGCAGAATTGCCCCACAGACCTATCACCCAGTGGTCTGTCTGCACGCCCTGATACTGCTGGATCATCTTCCCAGCCTTCCACATAACCCACAAAACACAGCAATGTATTAGCGCAGCAGCCAAAGAAAAGAGAAGAAAACAAACCACAGCCCAAACGAGTGCTGCCAACTGCATGCATTTCCCCGTCCAAATTCCATCAACCAACCTCGGAGGTGAGTTTGAGAGTGGCGGTGGCGGTGGTACGTGTGGTGTAGATCGCAGGGCTGGGGCTGCTGAAGAGGCTCGACACGAGGGGCGACAGAGAGCGCGTGGCGGAGGCCAGCGCCGCCACGCGCTGCGAGAAGGTGCTGCCGTTTTGACACTCCGTCATCACGTTCGCCATAGCCAGGGAGATCTGCCACGTGGACATGGGGAGATGGAGTCACGCGGATTGAGCCATGATAGCGCAAGCGAGGACAGGATGGAAGGCATCGTCGAGAATGGAGAGCGCAGCTTTGTATTTAGAGACGCAGACGCTTTTTTTTTTACATCAACCTGAGCCTGACTCGTGATAGTTCACGTACTGCTTCCTTCCCCTTGGCGCTGCCCTGCGCTGCAGTCACGCCGCCTACAATCACGCGATTCATGGCAGCGATAGAAAACATCTCGTTCCGCTTCGCATCGATCCCCTTCGCCGCCCCCTGAATCGCGCTTGACGCGCTCCGCAACGCGCTCTTCATCCGCGTCACCAGCGCGAAGGAGTCGCGCTGGTTCAACTGCGCGTTAGCGCGCTGTACGTCGTCCAGCTCCGCCCAGAGCGTCTCTGCGCGCCGCGACACGTCAGCCACCGCGCCCTCGATACTCCCGAGGCCGTACGACACGGACTGCTTCACGTCGACCGGGAGCTCTTCGGAACCGAGCGTGAGGTACGACGTGCTCAGCTGCTGCTTCGTGCGCACCGACGACACCGTGCCGCACACGGCGCGCAGCTGCTGCGCGAGAACGGTGGTGGCGGCGGAGATCGCGGCGACCTGGCTGCGGCGCATCGGCATCACCGCCACCACGCCCTGGCGCGTCAAGCTTCGGGCGGGAAGGGAAGCAGGCACAAATATTGACCATGGCTGAAGCACAGGATTGGGAGACTTCGGAAAAGTAAGAAATCAGAGTAGCGTGAGGGTGCAGTGTGAGTGAAGCTTGGTTAGTGGGCTTCATCGGTACCTGAGAGCGCCGCGGGACTTTCCCTTCTTAGCGGTGCTGTAGGTGTAGGTTATGGACGCGATACCCAGCTCGCCCTTGCTCTGGAACTTGCCCAGCGCCGTCGCACCAATCTCGTACCACTTTCCCTGCTCGGCAACGGGGGCAGCGGAATACCGAAAGGGAGGAAGAGGGGAGTTGAGAGATCCCGTGGTACGAGAGGATTGACGTGTGGCCGATGGTTGACGGGCGGTGCTTACCATGAATTTGCCCATGTTGAAGTTCGGCACGGTCTCGACGTTCGGGCACTTTGGGGATGAATCCTCGACGAATTTCTCGCAGAAGGGTACGTCGTCGGAGCCATCGCTGGGCGACACATCTTGAGCTAGCGAGCCTGGTGGCAGAAGTGTCACGAGCAGGATAGCGAGCGGTAGAACGAGCAGGCACACGCGGAAACACCTTGTTTCCATAAAAACAGTAGTGGCCGTAGCTCTAAAGTAGGATTCAGTCTACGTGCTTCTGGGGATTCAACAACACAGGTAAAAGGTCTAAAGATTGTTACTACTTCAGACGAAGGCGAGAACATCAGAAACATTTCGATTCGAAGTGTGGAATTTGTGTTGCTTCGTCAGTGCGAGATGAGGAGGGGGAGAGAAGGAACAAGGGTAGGAGCAGGGCGACTGCGTTGTGAAATGAATCCAGGGAGAACCGTCGTGTCAATCTCAAATGCGCGATTCGAAATGTCGGTGAAAATGTTGTTGAAATCTTGCTGGGCGCCCAAATTTAGCTCCGTTGCGACGCGTAAAGGAAAAGTGACCCGTAATAGCACAGCTGGCTTATAAGAAGTCATTTATCTGATGTCGCTGAACAAACATTGTATGCCCAATCAATCAAACTCCTACAGGATCCTCATTAAGATATATTATCCAGGGGCTACTTTAGTCGGCTCCAATAATTTTTGCACCAGCTGTGAGTGTGATCAGTGCGCTGTAGTGAATTAGCGCCTGTGAGCCGGAGGCCAGCAGTTGTGAGACGGCCCAAAGCAGCATCTATATCGGATTGCGCCACATTGGGGGTGCGAGACAGAAGCCAAACCGTTGTCTGCACTGGGAAACCAAGGGGGGTCAGAGAGTGACAAAAATGATGCGAATAGGCACTACAGTCAATGCAGACGTACCTTGCCCTGATAGCAGGTATAAACGGTGGCAAGGCTGTAGCCACTGGAAGCGTCTCCTTGCAAGTCAGTGATAATGTAGTTGGGCTCTTTTGACTTCTTACCATAGAATATCACAAACAGTTTGCCAGCCTGCGAGCAAGGGGGAACACATCGTTTATGAAAAACGGATAAACACCATAGAACCGCTTATATTTTCATGATGCAACAAAGAATAGGAAGCACTTTCAGTTGAGGAGATGGAAAGATGGCAGCAGTGCTCACATTGCTCTTGCTCTGGATGGCCTTGGCGCGAGGAAAGCCGCCCTGACCCACGCGGGAGAAGGGGGAGGGCACCATGGAGAGCACAACGGGAACCATGGCGGTGGCGAGCCTGCTTATGCTGCTGGATGCGAACAGCAGCCTTGTGTTTCGCACAAATGACTGCAGCTGCTCTCACCACAATGCACACAGGGACACAGCAATGGAGGCAGCACAACCAAGGCAAGTCAGAGACCGATGGAGAAGCATAAAGACAAGGTAAGTTATTCGCAGTTAAGTCAGAAAAGAACAATCAGGAGACTAGCACGTACCCCATTGGCAGCAGTCTTGGCATCCTGTCCGCCCAAGGACTGCAGCACTCCGCTGAGCTGCTTCGCTGCAGTCCTCCCAGTGAACCCCGCCTGAAAGATCCGCCCAGCAGCGCCCTGGATGTTGGAGATGGACTTGAGCATCTTGCCCTTGGCGCTGCTGTATTCCTTGGGATTCGGCCGCTCATTCATCACACTCATCGCCGTCTGGAAATCCCTCGCGGCGTTGTCAATAATTTCCGCGTCAGACGACACCGAGGCGAGAGATGCCGCAAGCTCATTGGCTGCCGCGAGCGGGCCTGAGGTTGTGCCGACACTGGTTGTGGCGGCGTCCGCAGAGGCGTTGGCGGCGAGGAGGGCCTGCGCCTGCGCGCTCGCCTTGGCTGCGTTGTATGCGACTCGGCAGACAATCCCGAGGTTGGTGGCTATGCGGCCGGCGTTCATCGAGGACAGTAGAACCTGTGCTTGCCGCGCGAAGGCAATGCTGCGCTTGCCACGATTGAGCACCCTGTGGAACGGGCGGAGGGCGGAGGGTTGAGACGGGGGGAAGCATGGGGAGACGGGGGGTGGGATGGAGACGGAAAGAGGTGGAGTAAGGACGGAGCGAGGGTATGGAGTTTCAGGCTTATACTGAATGGACGAGAAGGGGTATTGTGGGCGGAGAAGTGACGACAATCGCTGCAGTGATGCTACCACGAGCGCAACACAAAAGCTGTGACCAGTTCAAATCGTATCGGTGCGAGAGTGAGTGTGAACATGGTTTTTGGTGCGTCCTGTATGTTTTCCTGAGACATGCACCAGAGGTGAGTTTGGGCACAACCCACAACTTTAGCTCGCTCGCGGCTCACTTACTTGATTCGCTTCTGCCCGTTGACCTGCCCGTTGGGTGTGTAATCCGCCGTGGTGCACGTGAGCCCCACCTCCCTCTCGTAGTGGAACCGCGCCGTCAACGCCACCTCGTACCACCGACCCTGCCGCACCACAGCATGTCACGGCGAGCAGATAAAGTGATAGCGGATCAGGGCGAGAGGTCGCGGCGTCGTGGGAAGTCATGACGTTGATTGGAAGGCGAATAGCTATGATGAGGGGAGCAAAGTGCGTGACCGCTGTTAGTACGAGGAGGGCGCGATCGGGCGCTGCGAGGATTCCTCGCCAAGGCCCGGATGTCGGGCCATGACCATGATGAGCGGCGCGGAGCGACGCGTCGACATCGCGAGAAGGGAGAAGGCAAGAGGTGGGCCGTTCCTGGCAGGGCGAGTGGGGGTAGCCACGTACGTGGCCACAAACCAAACCAGCGACGTCAACGTCACTGTTGCGAGACGAAATGCCATTCGAGTAGTAAACTTTGCAACTTTTGATGACGCGAGACTGGATGCGCATATGAACGCCAGTGACATTATGTATAGAAAGCCGCAGTAAAAAACACTTTTGTCTCTGTCAAGTGCCACCGAAGCGATGAACCTTGCTTGAAAGCACCGGGCATTTTGAGTCATCGAAGTGACTTACAAATAACCTTCACGCACCGACATCGCTAAAATCGAAATGCGAAAGTTATCAGGCGACTGCTTCCTGTACGTCTTGTCCACATCAGTCGACCGCGGTGGCCTGATGGTCTGGCCAGCGCCAAACCGTCGCGGAGGCCCAACTCAGATGCTCCGCGTGCCGCTTATACGAGCAAATGTCGGTTGATCCACGCGAAAAAGCGAACAATATTTGTAGTACGAGGTTACACATACCGTGTAAGCCGAGATGTCAACGGTGTCGAAGGACGCGAGCTTGGGGCATTTGAAGGCATCAAGATAGTCGGCGCAGAACGACGCGGAGGCGGGTGCTAGCGCAGAAAGCGCGAGGAGCAGCGTAACAGCCGCCGTAACTTGCGCCAACCTGCGAGCAGCCATCGCTCGACAGCCTTACGGTCAGCTCAGAAGTTGCAGGTGTGACCGACGCGTCTTGTAGTCTAGTCGGAAAGTCAGCACCCAGCGTCGATGGGAATGGCTGGATAACTGTCAATCACAAATCACTGGTAAGGAGGTGCTTTGGTCTGGTGTGTTATGCGGCGAATGGACTTGTAAAGCGACGAGTGTTTATGTTTCACCTTTGCTCACACTATCCGCGCTACATTTCGTGTGATATTCAGTACACCGATCCGCACCGCATGTCTGAATTTCGCCCAGCATTCACTATTGTGTGAGTTCGGTTAGGAGGGACTTGTCATTGGCTAATTGCGTGCTGATATGGAGTTGCCCCCTTTTTGTTGGCGTCTGGCGTGTGATGACGACCACGAACCAATTCCACCGCTCCTACGCGCGCTTCGCCTTCTTCGGGGCCCGCCGTAAGGCGATGCGGAATTGGTGGCTGGTGATACTGTAGTGAATGATCGAATCAAAGTCCAAGCAGAGTGCGCTGGGCTGGAGTCTGCTCTGGCTGGAGTCTGCACTGGCAGGCACACAAGCACGCTACGCCACGAATTTCCAGGCGGTAATGTTCCGCAGTGACGAAACATGTCTTCATTCGAAGCTCCGAAGCGCGTCAAACTTCTAACTCGAGCGACCACAATCTAGATCGCTTCGGGCACCGTCGGGGAATCGATGACCGCAAATGTACTTTCTGAAGTGCTGACGGGGATTGTTGTGGATTGCACGACGTGTGAGTGGGAAGGCCTCAACTACAATCTGTGGCTCATTACGACACATTAGGCTCCCAGGATACATAAGAGCAAACAAGTGTACCGATAAAACATCATCTCAATGTGCTCCAATATTTGGTGCACCAACTTGTAGTCTGGTCAGTGAGCAAGAATGCGTTGGCTCCTGTTAGCCGTACTCCAGCATCAGTAACACGCGCCAACGCAGCATCTATCTCAGATTGCGGAATCGTTGGTGTGCGAGCCAGAAGCCAGATAGTGGCCTGCAGTGGTCAAGCATTACCAAGAAAGATTAGTATCTCCACAATGATTGTAAAGCATCAACACGGAAAAAGGAAAAACAGGTTTACCTCGCCTCCACTTGTGTCAATCACAGTTGCTTGTGTGTATCCCCAAGCATCTCCTTGCACGTTAAACACAGAGTAGTTGGGCTTTGTTGGCGCTGGGCCAAAGAATGTCACAGAGAGCCGGCCCGGCTGCACCCAGACGATAAAAAAACACGAGTGTGAGTCCAAAGGGGAGATACGAAAGGGAGCCAGCACCTCTTCAAGAACAAGGCAGGCCTGGAAAGCTTACATTCTTCTTGCTTTGCAAAGCCTTGCCGCGAATGAAGCCTTGTGAAAGGCTTCTGAGAGGCGATGGCACCATGGCAACTGTGGGTGCAACCATGACTGTGGCGAGCCGCACAATGCTGGTAGCCGCGAACATTATCCTTGTGATTCCCACCAGCGACCCCAGCTGCATATGTGTCACACATGGGTAAACGCACACAGAACACTGGAGCACGTGAGCAAACCAAACTTCTGGCCGGCGGCACCAGGTACAGCAAGGCAGCAACTGCACCCAAGCTGATCCCAAGGAGAGCAGCATGCTGGATTCAGCTCCCACGTACCCCGTTCGCAGCGGTCTCTGCTCCTTGCCCACCCATGGCTCTTAGGGCTCCAGACAGCCCCTGGGCCGCGGTCTTCCCGGTGAAAGTCGCTTGGAGAATTCGCCCGGCGGCGCCCTGGATGTTGGAGATGGACTTGAGCATCTTGCTTTTGGAAGCACTAAATCCCTTGGGCTGCCCGCGTTTGTTCAGCTTGTCGGCCTCCGTCTGAAAATCTCTCAAGGCATTGTCGATAATCTCGGCATCTGAGGACACCGACGTGGCGAATGCAGCGAGTTTATCGGCTGCAGCGAGGGATTCAGCGCTGCTGTTCGCGGCTGCGTTTACGGAGAGAAAGGTCTGTGCTTGAGCGCTCGCTGTGGTGGCGGCGTTAGCGGCCCCACAGACGATCCTGAGATTGCTAGCAATGCGGTTGGCATTTAACGAGGTGGTGAAGATCTGCGAGCGACGCGGGAGAGCAACGCTGCGCCTGCCACGATTTACCACCCTGGAAGATGGGCGAGACAGTTCGATGCAGGGAGGAAGAAACCGCAAACAAGTGAGGGAAGGCGGCCGGGTAAGGAAGGAAACAGATACTTGAGATGGAAGCCAGAATGGCATGTGATTGCGCAACTGGTTGATTGACTTGTCAGGAGCAAAGCTAACAATTTTGACTGATTCACGTGATGATATCCAAGAATTTGTGGCCAAGGACATGCACATGCACCGCGTTTGTTTCTCAGCACAATCACCGCCGTCGCTCAAGGCTGGCGCTTTGCTTGCATGCCACCCAGGACTCACTTGACTTTGTTGCGGCCGCTGGGCGTGACCCCCTTCGCCGTGTAGTTGGCCGTGGTACACGTCAGCCCTAGCTCGAACGTGAATCGGAACCCCGCCGTCGACCCGATCTCGTACCACCGGCCCTGCACGCGGTTAGGCAACAAGGCTGGTGGAAGGTTGGCGAAGTTGGAAATCAACAGAGAGGGTGGATCAAGAATCACTACTACTAGTAGAGGCGGCGGCGGCGGGTTTCGGGCGCAGGAGTGCGAGCCCGCAAATGTAGGCGTCGCGAGAGTCAGAAGAACGTCAAGGGGGGGAAACGGCAAGGCTATGAGGTCACCTGTGACTGTGCGATGCGCTGACGTGCACGCGGCGATCGCTGAAATAGAAGCCGCGGCGACTAGAAAGGGGTTCAATGGTTGTACGTTGAGAGTTTCACTCGCAAGCGTGCGTTTCTCATCCTGTGGGTGACTGTCAATGGCGAGCGCGCGTTTAGAGTCGCGAGCTTTTAGGGTTGCGTGCGTTTCACGTACCGTGTACGCGGTGAGGACGATATCATCGACGGACGGGAGCGTGGGGCTCTTGAAGGCCTTCACGTACTCGGCGCAGAACGACGCCGCGACGGGCCTCGTACACACCGCGGACAGCGCGAGAAGCAGCGCAATTACCGCAGTGACTTGCGCGGAGCTGCTTCTAAGGACTGTGGAGGTATTGGGTCGTGGGGCCATCACAGTGAACGAAGGGAATGCTCTGAGCTAAGCTCGATTATTCCTCCGCAGTACGCGTCGAAATGCTTCGCGGAGACACGAAGGTTGGGTTTAGCTCACCGTGGCAGGCGCGAGCTGGGCAAACTGCACTAATACTGCTAACACTCGCTTATTGTGGCCAAGAAGTAATGTCGGGTGGTGGTGATGGGTGAATGGCTGTCAGCTGATTTATGAATGCAATGCTGCTGAGCTCTGCCTTCAGCATGGGCGGGCGAGGGTCAGGACTCAGGGTGTGGTGGTGGTGGAGTCTCGAGGGGTCGCGCCACGTCATATCCTCTTCGCTCACACCCTGAACGCTTCGGTGCGGTGCGCGCGTTTCCGAAACCACACAGAGTGGCGCACCCTGACCTTCGGTTCTCTCGCCGATGTCGGGTTTCCGATCCCATCTCATCCCACCTGCACGACTCCCGTGAATCGTCGTCGCGACAGACACCGTCGTCCATAAAACCTGGTTGGAGCCATTTCTGCGATGTTTCCTCACTGACGTACTACTTCAGATGCTGCCAAGTTTACAGGACCACGCGCGGCCGCTGACCTACGTGCGCCTCTCATTAGTGGAGCGCGCTAGCTTCGGCCTACGCAAAGCTGAGCCACAAACACAAGTGGTGAGTGGGGGCGAGGGATAGACAAACGGCTGCTGGTTGAACAGTGAGATAAAAGAGGCGATTTCACACAGAGCAGTACAGTTGTTCAGTACCGTAGTTTAGCTTAGAACCGTTTGCTCGACGCTCCAGAGTACTGCGACGTGCATCAATACCCGAAGCGTGGTCATCTTCGGGGTGGGAGAGAAGGTCTGAAAGTAGTCAACTCCCTGCCGCTGACTGAAGCCTCGAGCCACGTAACGCGCCTTGAAGACAGGCGGAGAACCCGGCGGCCGCTTCACCCTGAAAATCCACATGCCATCGACAACGTTCGCCCCAGGTGCCTGTGGACTTCCAGGAAGCCATCTCTGCGTCCATGGCTGTCTGTCATTGGAGGCGCGTTGTTGTCGGTTAGGCACACAGATTTAAAGCCGTGGCCCAACTATCAGCTTCAACTTCGAAGTATTATAGCTTGGAACTTGGTTGTCCCAGGCAGTTCTGTGGCGAGAAGTTTGTCTTTTCCGAGATTCCATTTTTTTCATCCAATAAGGGTCTCGTTACGCACACTCCATGTTTGTCCTGCTACTGTTCCTAAGAAGTTGCACCCCGCCTTTAAGTGCGCTAAGCGATTTCAGGCTTTGAGTTGCTGGGTATTTCGATGGAGTGGGTACACCAGGCAGAACCGTCCCCAGTTTGCGTTGCAATTTGCAACTCAGTTCAGGTCTTGCGTTGCGTTGTGTGTGGTAAGTGTATGACCGATCTTTTTGTAACGCGACAGCGGAATTGTACCGTGTTAAAAATCGCCTCCAGATTCATGATGCACATCCAGAGCAATTTTCGTGCACAATCGATGGCCACAATTTGCTGACGTGGGCTGTTGCAGACCGTATAAGGGATGTGTCTGCCAGGTGACACTTGTACTTGGTACAGGCTTGGGCTCGTTAACTGTGTTTGCGGAATGTGCACATATGCTACAGTATAACAATCACGACGATTTCGCTTTTATCATCAGCACTGTAGCCTTGTTGAACACAATCACATTCCAGCATTGGTAAACACAAGCGAAACGCAATCCCAGCCCCTGAGATTTGTGATCAAGCCCTAGCATGCACGTAGAAATCGCGACGCGCATCTCCAATGTGCATTTGACATCTCCTCTCCACCACCCAAATGCTGCCGCCAACATCACGACGCTGTGCCTTTTTGGCAAGAACGAGGTTCGGACGCCATCATCTACGCCTTTTGCCACCCCGCACCCTCATCCCGCATAAGTTCATGAGCCCATCTCTGCTCACCCACCTGAACTCTCCACCTTCGCGAGTCCCACGAGGCTTTCACCTTTCGCCGCGGTTCACGTTCGGCATCTGATTCTATCACGCTGTTTGCACATCCATTGTCACGTCTCCACTCTCTGCTGTCAATCGTAGTAGGTACATCATTTACGTCGAGCTAGTACTACCTAAAAGAGTTTAAATCTGTTGCGCGGCTTGTCTTCTCAGGATTAGTGGTCCAGCATGGGAACTTTCGAGGGCCATTTGCTTCCCGGAGCCGCCTTCATCCTATTCGGCTCATGGCAGCAGTTCAACGTCGTGCGAGCCTTCTTCAAGCACCCTGGCAGCTTCCAGTCTCACGCATGGTTCCCTACCGCCACCACAGGCGTCTGGCGCTACATGGAGTTAATCTTCATTGCACTTGGAGCTACAGCATCAATACTCATGTCAGTTGCATGCGTTTCACAACATCCAACCTGATTTGATTTTCTTTTGGGTTTTTCATTTTTTTGTTGTAGTACGGTAAATTTGCTGTGATGTAAATTCGGGTGCACAGGGAGCTCGTGCTGACGCAGCCGCATTTCTCCCCTCTGGACAAGCACCACGTGATCCTGCTGGACGCATTCAACAACTTGGAGCACGCCGCCATTTCCCTCTTCTTCCTCCTCTACGGCCTCACCTGCCTGATCTGCGACCTCCTACCGGGCCTCCCGCCGTACCTGCCACATCTCGTGGGCGCCTCAGCGCTTGCACAGGAGTTTCTGCTCTTCCACTTCCACTCAGCGGACCACATGGGCTTGGAGGGTCATTACCACATGCTGCTGAGAATCCCGATTGGCATCGGGGCTGTTTGTGCAGCGATTGAGATCGCACACCCCACATCCTTCATGCTCTCTCTTGTACGCGCTATGAGCTTTCAGCTGCAAGGCGGAGTGTTTATTCAAATCGCCCTGTGCATCTGGGTGCCGTCGCTGGTGCCCCTTCACTGCGTGCGCAATGCGGTTACCAACACAGTTACGTGCGAAAGCGAAGTGTGGCACAGCAGGGCGAAAGCACTCGCCACTCTGCAGTTCACATGGTGGAGTGCAGCTGTTGTGGTGAGCACATTGATCGCCACTATCCTTGCCAGCCAAGCCTTCCAAGACCCTTCGGAAGAGGTGTACTCCGTTGTTGGGAGGGAACGCAAGGTGGATATCTCAAGAGACATTGAAATGGCAGACTCTAGACACCTGTTAGACACTCCCTTCTCCGAAGAGGAGGCTCTGAAGGGAGAATCATTCTGAGGGGCTGCGATGACTAATGTGGGTGGACGAGACACAGTGGCTCAGCAGGAGTCATTGTAACCCACTCTGGTACCTCTGGCACTCACCTGAATGGGTGGCTGTAGTGTAGAGGATAGCATACAGTCAGCTGCGAATGGATGTGTGATTCAAAGCTCAATCCCTTGTAGCAGTATGAGTTTTGTTCTGTTTGAATAGAGCTTATGGTATCCATTGGAGAGGTGATGAAATAAATACATAGTCGGAGGTTCCAGAAATGCGACTGTTGCTGAAGAACTAGAGCAGTGCAGCTGTGTGTGGAATTAGAAGACCTTGGAGAGCCAGCCCCTGGTGGTGATTGAACACAGATGTGACAATATGGAGGGAATGAACAGTGAGGTCAGAGAAGAGAACACAGGTGTAGCACAAGCGAGAGAGGGGAGAGAGGATGGAGAGTCGTGGAGGGGCAAGTGAGCAGTGTGAATGACCTAAGAGCGAGGATGTGAGGGCGTGCATGTGCATGGATGTGCAGTGAAAGAGAGGGCTGCTCACCAGATGCCTTCCGGTTGTGCCTGTGATCTTGGCCTGCCATCCACCATGCACCACATGCCATGTGCCACGCAGCATGCACCATGAGCAATGTGCGATGCAACATGTGCCATGCAGCATGGAGCAATGCATCACACAATGCACACAGCCATGGAGAGACATACGAATGACGAGACACGGTCATAAAAGCACAGGCAGCCGCATGTAAGTGGGCAGAGGAGAGTATTCATGCACAAGTGTGCAGGGCCATGCATGGATATCATCACACGTATAAGCACGAGCATGCATCCTTCCAGCTCTTCCCCACCCCGCATTTCCTCATCTCCTCCCTTCCTCCTCCCCATCCCCCCATCTTCTTTTCCTCACCCCCCACCCCCCCAATCTCCCATCGCCCTGCTCACGTCTTGCCAGCGAAGGCGTCGCTGATGTCAGCGGAGGTGGGCAGGGAGGGCAGCGAGGCCATGAGGTCGTATCGCTCCACTCCAAACGACACGTCCACGCGCTTGTACACCTCATAGGGGTCCGGGTAGCGCATTCTGGGGGGGCAGGAGAAGGTGGCGGGGTGTGATACAAGATTGCTTCTAATGTGGTTGTTCATAAAAGGCTATGAGGTCACGGCACTCCACACCAAATAACACGTCCACGCGCTTGTACACCTCAAAGGGAGACAGTCGCAGGAGCAAGTGAGCGGGCAGTGAGGCTGACCTGAGGATGGGGTACTGTGTGGGTGCTGGGATGGGATACTGTGTGCCCGAGAGGTGGAGCAGGCGCATGGGGTAGCAGAGCTCGAAGGTGGGCTTCACACATGAGGGCTCAGAGGGTGATGACTGTGGGGTACCACGTGCCAGTCTCACAGGTGGGCGTCACACACAAAGACTCAACGGCACTCTTCCCACCCACCTGAGGGCGCCGAGGATGGGATACTGTGTGCCCGAGAAGTAGAGCAGGCGCATGAGGTAGCAGAGCTCGAATGTGTCGGTGAATGCCACCCGCTCCGCCCGCCCCGCCACCTGCATCACCCCCGCTGCACTCGGTAGGTCCTGATGGGGTGTATGGGAGGGAGGGTGGGAGGGCGCGAGGGAGACTGTGAGGAATGATGGGAGGGAGGCGCTTGTCGAAGGATGTGAAAAAGGATATGCGTGACAGCAGGTCAACAGGGCAGCAGAGGGCAGCGGCGGGCAGCAGGTCAGTAGGGGTGACCTTGAGGCGCGGGTTGAGGATGATGACGGGGCGTGGTGCTGCTGCCTCCACCATGGCTTGCAGATCCTGAGCGCAGGGCGCACGGGATGGGGACACATGTGAGAACATCTGGTGGTAAGTGGATGGGGGAGTGGCGAGGGGCATGGCGAGGAGAGCGGCGAGATGAGTGGCCTTCTGGAAATGCGTCAACCTGAGGCGACTGATTCGTGCTTCCATTAGAGCCCATGTCGCTCCTACCAGCAGTGACGTGACTCACATCCAGGATGCAGTTGCCGACCGCATTCTGAGGAGCCATGATGATCACCACGTCATCCTCTGGCGCCACCTCAGCAGCTCCTGATTGGTGCACGATGCGCACAAGGGGTATGGTGGGCACAGCAAGGAGCATGTGAGCACAACAAGAATATGAGCACACAGAGTGTCAGCGGACAGGGGTCATGAATGCACATGGAGGAATGCACATGGAGGAATGCACATGGAGGAATGCACATGGAGGAATGCACTCTCAATGCTCCCACGCAGCCATCCACACTGATTGGCTCCCACCCCCAACGCACCCACGGAGCCGAGTACGATTCTCTCGTTGAGCTCGTCCCCCACCCATGGCCCACAGCAGCCTGCGCGTGCCACCCACCCTTGTACCTCCCCACCAACCCTTAATGCACCCACCTACCGAGTCACCTGCCTTGAGCTCACCAACAGAGCCGAGGACAATCTTGTCGTTGAGCTCCTCTCCCCAGTCCATGGCCTCCAGCAGCCTGCGCGTGCCCGCCAGCTGCAACGGCATGCCCGCGAATATGCCCGACCCCATGCTGCCCTGCACACACACCTGGATGGAGTGAACAGGTGGGAGGGCAAAAGGAGCAGGGGCATATGCAGAGGCAGGCAGAGGGGAGTGTGAGGCATGTTCGCGAATATGCCCGACCCCATGCTGCCCTGCACACACACCTGGGGGGGTTGGCAAGGAGGGAAGGGACGGAGAGAGGGAAGGGGACAGCAGCAAGGGCATAGACAGGCATGGAATGGGCAGGTGCGGTGGCAGGAAGAGGGGCAGGGGCAGGGGCATGTGAGGCATGGAGTGGGGATAGTGAGGGCTACAGGCAGTTAGAGAGGCGAGAGGGAGGTGAGCATTGCACAGCGCCTTGCCTCATGCAGGAGGAACGTGGATGAGGAAGGCCGGATTGGAGGAATAGGCAGTGAGGAAAAATGAAGTGAGGTGGCTGGAAGGAGAAGGTAAGCGTAGACAGACGTTTCACTCACTGCCCTTCTCTCCTCACCATCACGCACGCATCCTTCCCACTCTCCACCCTTCATTCCCCCTTTGATCTGCACCCCCCCCTTCACAACCACTCCCCCTCCAACCGCACCCCTCGTCCTCACCGTGCAAAGCAAAGGTGCATGCCAGCTCCCGCATGAGCTCCCCCCTGCACATCCGCTCCCCCTTCAACCTCACACCCTCCTCCCTTCATCCCCATCACCTCCATCACCCCCATCACCCCCATCACCCCCATCACCCCCATCACCATCAACACCCCCATCACCCCCATCACCCCCATCACCCCCATCACCCCCATCACATCACATCACCCCCATCACCCCCATCACCCCCATCACACCCATCACCCCCATCACGCCCATCACCCCCATCACCCCCATCACCATCAACACCCCCATCACCCCCATCACCCCCATCACCCCCATCACATCACATCATCCCCATCACCCCCATCACCCCCATCACCCCCATCACCCCCATCACCCCCATCATCCCCATCACCCCCATCACACCCATCACCCCCATCATCCCCATCACCCCCATCACCCCCATCACCCCCATCACCCCCATCACCCATCACCCCCATCACCCCCATCACCCCCATCACCCCCATCATCCCCATCACCCCCATCACCCCCATCACCCCCATCATCCCCATCACCCCCATCACCCCCATCACCCCCATCACCCCCATCACCCCCATCACATCACATCACCCCCATCACCCCCATCACCCCCATCACCCCCATCATCCCCATCACCCCCATCACCCCCATCATCCCCATCACCCCCATCACATCACATCACCCCCATCACCCCCATCACCCCCATCACCCCCATCACCCCCATCACCCCCATCACCCCCATCACCATCAACACCCCCATCACCCCCATCACCCCCATCACCATCAACACCCCCATCACCCCCATCACCCCCATCACCCCCATCACCATCAACACCCCCATCACCCCCATCACCCCCATCACCCCCATCATCCCCATCACCCCCATCACCCCCATCACCCCCATCACCCCCATCACCCCCATCACAATCAACACCCCCATCACCCCCATCACCCCCATCACCCCCATCACATCACATCACCCCCATCACCCCCATCACCCCCATCACCCCCATCATCCCCATCATCCCCATCAACCCCATCACCCCCATCACATCACATCACCCCCATCACCCCCATCACATCAGATCACCCCCATCACCCCCATCACCCCCATCACCCCCATCACATCACATCACCCTCATCACCCCCATCACCCCCATCACCATCAACACCCCCATCACCCCCATCATCCCCGTCACCCCCATCACCCCCATCACCCCCATCACCCCCATCACCATCAACACCCCCATCACCCCCATCACCCCCATCACCCCCATCACCCCCATCACATCACATCACCCCCATCACCCCCATCACCCCCATCACCCCCATCATCCCCATCACCCCCATCACCCCCATCACCCCCATCACCCCCATCACCCCCATCACCCCCATCACCTCCATCACCCCCATCACCCCCATCACCATCAACACCCCCATCACCCCCATCACCCCCATCACCCCCATCACCCCCTTTACCGCCATCACCCCCACCACCCCCATCACCCCCATCACCCCCATCACCCCCATCACATCACATCACATCACCCCCATCACCCCCATCACCCCCATCACCCCCATCACATCACATCACATCACCCCCATCACCCCCATCACCCCCATCACATCACATCACCCCCATCACCCCCATCACTCCCATCACCATCAACACCCCCATCACCCCCATCACCCCCATCACCCCCTTCACCCCCATCACCCCCATCACATCACATCACCCTCATCACCCCCATCACCCCCATCACCCCCATCACCATCAACACCCCCATCACCCCCATCATCCCCATCACCCCCATCACCCCCATCACCCCCATCACCCCCATCAACCCCATCACCCCCATCACCCCCATCACCCCCATCACATCACATCACCCCCATCACCCCCATCACCCCCATCACCCCCATCACATCACATCACCCTCATCACCCCCATCATCCCCATCACCCCCATCAACCCCATCACCCCCATCACATCACATCACCCCCATCACCCCCATCACCCCCATCACATCACATCACCCTCATCACCCCCATCACCCCCATCACCCCCATCACCATCAACACCCCCATCACCCCCATCACCCCCATCACCGCCATCATCCCCATCACCCCCATCACCCCCATCACCCCCATCACCATCAACACCCCCATCACCCCCATCAACCCCATCACCCCCATCACCCCCATCGCATCACATCACCCCCATCACCCCCATCACCCCCATCACCCCCACCACATCACATCACCCCCATCACCCCCATCACCCCCATCACCCCCATCACCCCCATCACCCCCATCACCCCCATCACCCCCATCACCCCCATCACCATCAACACCCCCATCACCCCCATCACCCCCATCACATCACATCACCCTCATCACCCCCATCACCCCCATCACCCCCATCATCCCCATCACCCCCATCACCCCCATCACATCACATCACCCACATCACCCCCATCACCCCCATCACCCCCATCACCCCCATCACATCACATCACCCTCATCACCCCCATCACCCCCATCATCCCCATCATCCCCATCATCCCCGTCACCCCGATCACCCCCATCACCCCCATCACCATCAACACCCCCATCACCCCCATCACCCCCATCACCCCCATCACCATCAACACCCCCATCACCCCCATCACCCCCATCACCCCCATCACATCACATCACCCCCATCACCCCCATCACCCCCATCACCCCCATCATCCCCATCACCCCCATCACCCCCATCACCACCATCACCCCCATCACCCCCATCACCCCCATCACATCACATCACCCCCATCACCCCCATCACCCCCATCACCCCCATCACCATCAACACCCCCATCACCCCCATCACCCCCATCACATCACATCACCCCCATCACCCCCATCACCCCCATCACCCCCATCATCCCCATCACCCCCATCACCCCCATCACCCCCATCACATCACATCACCCCCATCACCCCCATCACATCACATCACCCTCATCACCCCCATCACCCCCATCACCCCCATCACCATCAACACCCCCATCACCCCCATCATCCCCGTCACCCCCATCACCCCCATCACCCCCATCACCATCAACACCCCCATCACCCCCATCACCCCCATCATCCCCATCACCCCCATCACCATCAACACCCCCATCACCCCCATCACCCCCATCACCCCCATCACCCCCATCACCCCCATCACATCACATCACATCACCCCCATCACCCCCATCACATCACATCACATCACCCCCATCACCCCCATCACCCCCATCACATCACATCACCCCCATCACCCCGCCATCACCCCCATCACCCCCATCACATCACATCACCCCCATCACCCCCATAACCCCCATCACCACCATCACCCCCATCACCCCCATCATCCCCATCACCCCCATCACCCCCATCACCCCCATCACATCACATCACCCCCATCACCCCCATCACCCCCATCACCCCCATCACCCCCATCACATCACATCACCCCCATCACCCCCATAACCCCCATCACCACCATCACCCCCATCACCCCCATCATCCCCATCACCCCCATCACCCCCATCACATCACATCACCCCCATCACCCCCATCACCATCAACACCCCCATCACCCCCATCACCCCCATCACCCCCATCACCATCAACACCCCCATCACCCCCATCACCCCCATCACCCCCATCACATCACATCACCCCCATCACCCCCATCACCCCCATCACCCCCATCATCCCCATCACCCCCATCACCCCCATCACCACCATCACCCCCATCACCCCCATCACCCCCATCACATCACATCACCCCCATCACCCCCATCACCCCCATCACCCCCATCACCATCAACACCCCCATCACCCCCATCACCCCCATCACATCACATCACCCCCATCACCCCCATCACCCCCATCACCCCCATCATCCCCATCACCCCCATCACCCCCATCACATCACATCACCCCCATCACCCCCATCACATCACATCACCCTCATCACCCCCATCACCCCCATCACCCCCATCACCATCAACACCCCCATCACCCCCATCATCCCCGTCACCCCCATCACCCCCATCACCCCCATCACCATCAACACCCCCATCACCCCCATCACCCCCATCATCCCCATCACCCCCATCACCATCAACACCCCCATCACCCCCATCACCCCCATCACCCCCATCACCCCCATCACCCCCATCACATCACATCACATCACCCCCATCACCCCCATCACATCACATCACCCCCATCACCCCGCCATCACCCCCATCACCCCCATCACATCACATCACCCCCATCACCCCCATAACCCCCATCACCACCATCACCCCCATCACCCCCATCATCCCCATCACCCCCATCACCCCCATCACCCCCATCACATCACATCACCCCCATCACCCCCATCACCCCCATCACCCCCATCATACCCATCACCCCCATCACCCCAATCACCCCCATCACATCACATCACCCCCATCACCCCCATCACCCCCATCACATCACATCACCCCCATCACCCCCATCACCCCCATCACATCACATCACATCACCCCCATCACCCCCATCACCCCCATCACATCACATCACATCACCCCCATCACCCCCATCACATCACATCACCCCCATCACCCCCATCAACCCCATCACCCCCATCACCGCCATCACCCCCATCACCCCCATCACCCCGATCACATCACATCACCCCCATCACCCCCATCACCCCCATCACCACCATCACCCCCATCACCCCCATCACCCCCATCACCCCCATCACCCCCATCACATCACATCGCATCACCCCCATCACCCCCATCACCCCCATCACCCCCATCACATCACATCACATCACCCACATCACCCCCATCACCCCCATCACATCACATCACCCCCATCACCCCCATCACCCCCATCACCGCCATCACCCCCATCACCCCCATCACATCACATCACCCCCATCACCCCCATCACCCCCATCACCACCATCACCCCCATCACCCCCATCATCCCCATCACCCCCATCACCCCCATCACCCCCATCACATCACATCACCCCCATCACCCCCATCACCCCCATCACCCCCATCATCCCCATCACCCCCATCACCCCAATCACCCCCATCACATCACATCACTCCCATCACCCCCATCACCCCCATCACATCACATCACACCCATCACCCCCATCACCCCCATCACCCCCATCACATCACATCACATCACCCCCATCACCCCCATCACCCCCATCACATCACATCACCCCCATCACGCCCATCACCCCCATCACCCCCATCACCGCCATCACCCCCATCACCCCCATCACCCCGATCACATCACATCACCCCCATCACCCCCATCACCCCCATCACCACCATCACCCCCATTACCCCGATCACCCCCATCACCCCCATCACCCCCATCACATCACATCACCCCCATCACCCCCATCACCCCCATCACCCCCATCACATCACGTCACATCACCCCCATCACCCCCACCACCCCCATCACCCCCATCACATCACATCACCCCCATCACCCCCATCACCCCCATCACCCCCATCAGCCCCATCAACCCCATCACCCCCATCACCCCCATCACATCACATCACCCCCATCACCCCCATCACGCCTCCCTTGACTGCCCTCACCTTGACGCGCTTGCCCTTGCGTGCAAAGGTGAACGCCAGCTCCCTCATGAGCTCCAGCAGCGTGCCGATGCGATACACGTCCTGATGGGCGGAGCACACACGGGCAGGGACAGCGCGAGACAGGCAGGGTGGGTGGGAGGGGCAGACTCTTGAGTCGACTCAAAGGTGAATGCCAGCTCCCTCATGAGCTCCAGCAGCGTGCCGATGCGATACACGTCCTGTGTGCAGGGCAGGCAGGGCACCGCACGGGGAAGGACAGACGGGGGCATTGAATGGCACACACGCAGGGTGGCAGAGGGCAGAGTGAGACAAGAAGGGGGGCAAGGGGCAGAGGGATATTTGAGAAAACTGAACTGAACAGTCGCTGAGATTTATGTCACAAGACCAGTGTGGTACATCTTCTGCTGAGTGGCACATGGGGTGGGAGCGGTGAGTGGCACATGGGGTGGGAGCGGTGAGTGGCACATGGGATGAGAGCGGTGAGTGGCACATGGGGTGGGAGCGGTGAGTGGCACATGGGGTGGGAGCGATGAGTGGCACATGGGGTGGGAGCGGTGAGTGGCACATGGGGTGGGAGCGGTGAGTGGCACATGGGGTGGGAGCGGTGAGTGGCACATGGGGTGGGAGCGGTGAGTGGCACATGGGGTGGGAGCGGTGAGTGGCACATGGGGTGGGAGCGGTGAGTGGCACATGGGGTGGGAGCGGTGAGTGGCACATGGGGTGGGAGCGGTGAGTGGCACATGGGGTGGGAGCGGTGAGTGGCACATGGGGTGGGAGCGGCAGAGTGAGTGATCGACTGGGCTACAGTGTGCGATGCAGTGCAGGGAGTGTGGGGTGAGTAGGTTGGAGAGGAGAACGGTGCGGGGGAAGGAGGGGTTGAGAGAAGTAGAGGCCAGAAAAGGGGTGCGACAAGAGGAGGGGATGGAGGGTGAGGGCTTGGAAATAATGAGACGGGCGAGAGGGAATTGAAGGGAGAAAATCTGGTGAAACGCATTACGTATGGGATGGGAATGTAAAGAAAGGGTTGAGAAGTAAGGGACGATTGGCAGTGCAAGGGTTGAGAGAAGGGCTGACCATTTGGGGGTTGAGCTCTGGGATTAGACACTCCAGCTGATGGGTGAGCGAGAACAAACATGCACACACACCGCACACACACACATTGTACACTCACACACAACACACACAGGCACAGAGTGCCCGCACCTCCCACCCTCATATGCACCCCATCATCACAAGCACACACCCACATGCCACAGCATGGTATGGCCATTCAGGCATACAACGAGCCACACACCACATACCCATCCATGGCACACGCAGGATGACAGGGCAAGAGCACAGGGGGATGGAATGGGGTTGGCAATCCGTAAATCATCACAGTAGCCCTTCCATGCACTATTCTATCTCTGCACGTTGTATTGCCATCAGAATAGGGCCAACACATGTTATACCAAGAGAAATGCCAGATGCCAGCCATGCCATGCACTGCCCCCCCGCCCCGCCTTGATCCTCTGTTTCCCAGCAGCCACGGCGTTAACAGCAGCAGGACAGGCATCGTCATAGAAGTACTGCCGAATTTCCCACCTGTGAGGCACCTCAAAGCCCATGCACTAGCCACTTATCCCACCTTGATGCGCTGTTTCCCGGCTGCGACGGCGTTGACGGCAGCGGAGCAGGCGTCATCATAAAAGTACTGCCGAATCTCCCGGCTGTGAGGGATGTCGTTCAGCCGCGTTGGCATGCCCCTCCACGTGCCCTCTTCCGCTGCTGCTGGTGCCCCCTCCTGCTGCATGCACAGGCGCACAAGTGCACGGGGGCACGGGGGGAGGGGACACACAACGTTCAAGCAGAGGCGGGAGAGAGGCAAGGGAGGAGCGCAGGTGGAATGAGTAACAAGGGACGGGTGCAACAGGGTGGGAAAAAAGGGAAAAGGTGGTCCCTGATTGGCCAGAGGAGCGGCAGACAGAGGGTGAGAACGGTTTTGTGGACTGTGGGGAGAGGCACGAGGATGCTTCGTTGGTGACCCCACCTTGTCTGCCCTGGCCTTGTCCAGAGCGCTGCTGATGTCAGCAAACACCTCGTGCTTGCCTCGATGCCCGTTCACCTGCATTCGATGAGGAAAGGGCGACGAGGGTAGGGGAAGTGGGAAAGAGGAAGAGGGTAGAGGGAAGAGGGGCAGGGGAAAGGGGGTAGAGGGGAGATGACAGGGTGAAATGGATTTGGGAGACAGGGGTAGGGGAGGAAGAGAATATGGGCAGGATGAAGAGAATATGGGCAGGATGAAGAGAATATGGGCAGGATGAAGAGAATATGGGCAGGATGAAGAGAATATGGGCAGGATGAAGAGGATTTGGGAGGAAGGGTTGATCCAGCCCAACACGTTCCATTTCACCCACTCATGACAACCCACCCTCCTCCATCCATTTTCCCTCCCCCCAGCTGACACACAGACGTACCTCCACCAATTTCTCCCTGTATGCATTCACCACATGCGTCACGTGCTTCTTGTATACCTCCACCCGCGCTAGCGCCTGTGTAGTGAGAGGAAGGGGGCGGTGAAAAACAAGAGGTGCAAAGACGTTAGGCAACAAAGCGAGCGTGAGAGGCAGGAAGGCGTGTGAAGGTATTTGAAAAGGTGGAGAAAGGTGTGAGTGAGTGTTGAGTAGGTGCTGTGCAAGCAAGCAATGCTACCTTGTACCTTCTCCTCCGTGTCGTCAGACCGCTGGATGAGCCGCGCTCGAACCTCCTCGCTCTCGGGAGGGGAGAAGGTGAGGTGGTAGATGCGGTTGGTGTGCGGGTCCAGCCTGCGCCCCACCACCCTCTCCACCAGAATGCTGTCCGGCACCTGTGGAGACACACGGCAGTAGGGAGGCAATGCCACCAAAGCAAAACACTTTCAGTTATATGAATGACGTCGATCACCATCCCACCACCCTGGGCGCACACACTGGATTCACGCACGGCGCTCCTGCAGTGACGTCCAGAACCACCCCTTTCGTCCATGAGCCCCTGTGCCTTGTGAGTCGCCTCGGAATTCGGCCATACTCACGAATAAATAGTAAGCACACAGCCCCAACGCACCTGCAGCAGCAGGAAGACGTCTGGCACTACCCCAGCATCCATGAGCGCCTGTGCCTGTGCGGGCGAGCGCGGAAAGCCGTCCAGCAGCCACCCCTTGGTCCGCGCGTCCGGCTGGGATAGACGCGCCTGCACCATCTGTCAAGGAGAGGGAGAGGGGGCGATGGGAGTGAGATGAGACTGAGAAATGAAAGTGAATTTCGAAGGCAGGGCGAGGAGAGTGCGAGATTTGAATGATAGTGGGAGAGACAGGGTGCTATGGAGTCGAAGATGGGGAGCTATGGGGCGCTATGAGAGTGGGGGACATACAGGACCGTCATCTACCCCAACCAATGCAACCTGGCCGACCACACAGCCCTTCCCTTGCAGCCAGCTTCACACCACCTCGTGAGAGCTTTCTGAGAATTCTCCTCAACAATCTCATCCCATCCCCACTCATGCTGATGATGAGGTCGTCCGGCACGAGCTGCCCCGCGTCCATGAACGCCTTGGCAGCACTCCTCCCGCTCGTCATGCCCCGAGCGACCTCGTGAGGGATTTCTGAGAAGCCTCAACAATCTCATCTCATCCCATCCCCACTCACGCTGATGACGAGGTCGTCAGGCACGAGCTGCCCCGCGTCCATGAACGCCTTGGCCTGCCTGCCGTTCTCCGTGTCGCACGCCACCTCGTCCCGCAGCAGGTCGCCCGTTGATATGTGCGCCAAGCCGTACTGGTGGCCACGAGGGGTGGAAGGAGCGGCGGAAGGAGGGGTGAAAGGCGGTAAGGAGGCGAGAGTCAGGAGAAACGAGACAGGCGTGTCATAGCACAGTCAACCCCCAGCAGGTCGCTCGTTGAGATGTGCGCCCAGCCGTACTGGCGGCCACGAGGGGTGAAAGAAGAACGGATGGAAGGAGGGGTGGAAGGCGATAAGGAGGCGGGAACGAGGAGAAATGAGACAGGCGTGCTTCAGCGCAATCAACCCGCAGCAGGTCGACCGTTGAGATGTGCACCAAACCGTACTGATGGCGAGGGGGTCGGAGGCGATAAGGAGGCAGAAACGAGGAGAATGAGACAGGAGAGTTGCCAGAGAGTTAACCTGCAGCAGGTCGCCCGTTGAGATGTGCGCCAAACCGTACTGGCGGGCACGAGGGGGTGTGAGATGACAGAAAGGAGCACATTGCACCTCTAGAAACAAGCACCTTGTCTGACCCCAGTTCCTCATGGGGACATGCACCAGGCAGTAGTGGCGGTGAGGGCCCAAGGGAACAGCGCTGCAAGAAGCAAATGGGATGAAACAGCGGGGGTGACTGAACAACAGGCAGGCATGACGCTGTCAGCAGTTATGATTGTCCCCGCAGCTCTGGTCCTTCCACCCCATTTCGGTGAAATCTGTTCTGTCGCATACCTTCCAATGCACGAACCTTCTTAACAATCTCCTCGCATTGTGTGCCTTTTCCCGATGCCGGAGCCCCCGATATAATCACACGCAGCATGGTCGATTCCTCCTCTACGGGTTCTGCTGTCTTTGTCGCGGATGACGCCGCAACCTGCGGGTTGGAAGATATCGGTGGGAAGGAGCCGAGGGGCAGGATGGAAAGAGGTGCATAGCGGAGCTGACTGCTATGGGAAGCAAGACGAGCGCACGCCGAACGACAATACACTTCCCGCATTTTACTTAGTCGCGTGCATGTGAACATATGTAGCGCAAATATGGCACCTTCAGCGACCGCCATTGTCGTCGCTGCGCGGTCGCCTTTCCTCTACGAACGCACGAACGGCTGGCGTTGGTCGTCGCAACTCGCGGAGCAAATGCCACGCTCACTGACGTGGCATCGCGCGCGCGTTCCTGGTTGAACGCTGCGCGCAGCGGAACGGCGGAGCTGGTTTGCAGCGAGAGAGCCATTGGCGAGCAACCAGGAACTCTTAGAAACAGCCTGATGTTAGTCCTGATTCCTGCCTCGTCAACCAGCAGACAATCAGCGGCACTGGGAGTGCCGAGGTGTTATAGTGAATATGGGGTGAAACCAGATGCATGCATGTGCCTCATCCATTCAAAAATTGTACTCCTAACTGTGTGACTCGCTTTTCGCCATTATCTCGATCAAACCAATTCTACGAACAATGATGCGAACTGTCGCAGCTACACCGCATATTCCCATACATTGTTCGCAGAAGCTTTCGTGGGCTGTCGCAACGTCAATCGCCAACTGTACTCGCAGGCAAGTGTGCCTGCTGAATCTTCATGCTCACGCTGGCTGCGCAAATCCCAAGGCTCCCTGGTGTAGTGGTCAAATTTGAGCATCATTTCATTTCAAATGTGGAGTGGAGATCAATGGAAACTCCTGAAATTTCTCTAGAAGCCTGAACCACACTCTGGAGCCTGGACTGGACATCCTCTGTCTACTCGTGCTTTGGGTCTACCTTTGTCACCTTCCGCGACACACGTTGCTCGACCTCCGCATTCGCTTGTTTCCACTTCGCGTATCTATCTTAGTGATTGGGGTTTCATCTTCTCTCGGCGTTGGTTCCTATCGTGAAGCTAACAGTTCGAGTTGAAGCGAGCAGCAGGTGGTGCCATGGAGGTGGTTCGAGTGAGCTTCGCGGATCTCAAGGTCTGTCATTAGCCAGTGTCGTGACGTCTCAGTTACGTCAGCCTTGCATTTACCACGCGATCAGATGACGGCAGCGCTCCGTCGTCGGTGGCACTAGAATGTCCCTGACGCACGCATCGCAGTTGCATCGCGTCGCTGACTCCCGTGTATAGTTCGTTCAAAAAACATCAGCGAGAAAGCACTAGTAGTTGCGTGAGTTATCACCAGTAGTGACTCACCCCTCGTTTCTGCCCGTCCGTTGGATTACAACCAGGAAGGCAACGATCTCTCCTCTCAAATCGAAGCTGCTTTCGGGCCTGGAGGTCTGGGAATCATTGCTGTTTCCGATGTAAGAGAACATGCTGCGAGTAGAGATACGCTGCGAGCTACTGCCTTGAGTGCTGCGTTTCTTCGTTTTGTAAAAAGAAAGGAAAACAAGTCGGCTGAAGAGTAGCGTGGTCTGTTTTCAGGTTCCCGGCTATCCTGAGGCAAGGGAACGGCTTCTTCCGCTCGCATTAAGGTCTGTATACCTAATACCCAGCAGTGTCACATTGTTCCAACTCGTCCAAACCACACTTCAGCTGATTCCTGTGCGTGACTGTGCATCACTGTGTTGGTGCGTGCATGACCATGGGCGTGTGCACGTGTCCAGGCTTGGGGCGCTCCCAGAAGAGGCCAAGAGACGCATTGAGGACCCAAACAGCAAGTAAGTGCCGTGGCTAATCCTTCTCTTCAAACTCTCGTGTTTCGTGCCTGTTCATGTCAACTCACAACAATGTCGCATGCGCCTGATTCGACTGCACGCGCACGGTGCACGGCAGGTACAGCTTTGGATGGAGCGAGGGTAAGGAGTCGGTGGAGGCAGGCAGAAGGGACGCGCTCAAGGCGTCCTTCTATGCCAACCCGCTCACCGACACGCCCACCACCGATCCTGAGCTTATACGCAGGTGAGCAGAAGCAAGCCTGTTGTGAGGGTGCCAAGAAGGCACCTGCCCTGGATTTCGTTCATAGCTTTATCCACTAGTGCAACCCCACCTCATTCTTACATGCATGTCCATGTGCGCGAATGTGCATCTGCACTTGCATGTGCACCTACGTGTGCATGTGGAAGTTTGTCTGCACATGCACCATGTACTCATGTACATGCACCCATGCACATGCGCATACCCTGCACACAGGTTCCCCACCTACTGCCGCCCCAACGTGTGGCCCTCACAAGACCTTCCCGAGCTTGAACCAGGTGAGCTGGCCTCCAGCCACTCAGCTAGCTGCCTCCTGTGCATGTGATACTGACTCGTTATAGTCACATCATGACGCTGAATTGACTTCCACTCTTTCTTCTCCCTGCTCCGCTGTAATTGCCTCAGCCTTCAAGGCGCTGGGCCGGTTGATAGTGGACGTGGGCAAGCAGTTGCTGCAACATTGTGATGCCTACGGTGAGCCTTCAAACCACAACTATCTTGCATGAGTGGTTTTCCTTCCTTCCTTTCAAACGTCGGCATTTGAGCATTGTCAAGTGGAACCGTTCTTTCAGCCTGTCATCAATCTCCACGCCACCACACCACCCCATGCCAGTGCACAGCAGGAACCCTCACGTGCCCTCAGGCAAGCTGCTACGAGTGGTGGAGCAGTCCCCCTGCCACAAGGCCCGCCTGCTGCTCTACCTGTCACCGCAGCAGCCCCCACCCGCACCGTCAGCAGCACAGGGAGAGAGAGAGGGAGAGGGAGAGGGCGAATTGCCTGCTGAGAGCAGCAGGGTATCAAGGGAGGAGGCAGTGGCGTGTGCAGGCAATGGGGGCAATGGGGGTGTGTCTGCTTCTGAGAGTCTAACGGCTGTGGCAGATGCGGACGTGTCGTCGTGGTGTGGCTGGCACCTGGATCATGGCTCCCTCACAGGCACGTGCTTGCGTTCTCTTCTCTCCGTGCTTCTTCCCAAGTTGCGCTCCTGCTTGCTCCCACGCAAGTACCTCTCTTGTGCCGGCCTCATTCACTCACTTGCGCTCTCCCTCCCTCGATCACACACTCGCCCCTCCCTCACTCAGTCTCTTCCTCCCTGCCTGCTTGTATCTATGTCAGGCCTGACGAGGGCGCAGTTCTGGAGGGGAGGGGAGGCGGTGGAGGGCAGCGACCTGGACCCCTCGTGTGGCCTCTACATCCGAACCAGGGACGGGCAGATTGTGCAGGTATGTGTGTTGCACGAAGCAAGCACCATCCTTGTCTTGCAAGAAGCAAGCACCATCCGGTGGTTCTGTTGACATTCTCTTGTTGTCCATTCACCATCCTTGTCTTGATTCCATTTTGATTGCGGTGTCGATCATGCCTCATTACGTGTTCCATGCATCTTTGTGCATGCATGCATGTGCACCAGGCGCGTATACCAGAGGGGTGCATAGCGTTTCAAGTGGGTCACGCCATGTCCATCCAGTCGGGGGGGCTCCTAGCTGCCACGCCCCACTGCGTTGCGGTACCCTGCCTCTTCTCCCACATATCCCCTCTTCACACTTGTATTCATTTCCGCCGTCCCTCATTCTGCTTCGTCCTGTTGCCTCCATCCCATCAGCTCTGTGCCGTTGCCATCCCAACCCATGTCACTCCAGTCCATGTTCGTCCTGCTAATGCCATATCCACCCCCACCTGTCTTATCATACTCAGCCGGCCCTTCCATGCCATTTCACCCACCCGTGCCATGCCATGCATGCACACAGGCACCCAAAGGGCCGGCATCATCAATAGGCGTTTCTCGCGCCACATTAGCAGTGTTCATGCAGGTACGTACTGTTCATGCAGGTACGTACTGTTCATGCAGGTTCGTACTGTTTATGCAGGTCCGTACTGTGTTCATGTGTGCCCGCACTTTCCATCCATGTGCAATGCCTAAGCTCATAGGGAGATGCTCTTAGCAATGCTCATGTAAGTCATGCAAGCAATCACCATGTGCTTGGTCCAGACGTTGCTGCTCCTGCCATCGCTCTCACCATCTCAAAGCTCTCACCACCTCCATTCCCGTTGTGCTTCCACTATGTTGCCCAATTCTCCTTCTCATCCCTTCTCCCGTGTTGCATCTCCACTCCCATGCCACCATCCCTCCCATGCACCATCGCTGCGCGAACCAATCACAATCGCCGTGCTGCCCTCGCCCGATCATCAGCCCTCATGGTTCGTGTTGCTAGCATGCACTGTGCAGCATAGTCGGGGGCTCTGTGTCTCTCCCACCCAACCAACCCCTCACATGCTGACCCCTCTGTCAACATGGCTCAGGCAGGCACTACCATCAGCGGAACCATGCCATATGTTTGTTTGGATGTCTTCCACCTGCATTCCCCCCATGCTCTCCCGGTCATGCCATGCCATCCCTCGCCGCTCCTGCTCGCCCGCACACTCTCCTCTTGATCCATGTCTTCCACTCTCACTCACTCCCCGGTGTTCTCCCCACTTCTCCGCAACCCAGGAACGAGCCTCTCGACATGCCTCCCTGCTGCTCTCTTACACCACAGGTGGGGCCCACCACTAGTCTGCTTGCACTCTCTCCTTTCTTGTTGGCTCCTTTCTTGTTGGCTATCTGTGTCAGACAAGCTTCAACACTAGCGCCGCATCACACTGCCCCTCACACCTCTCGCGGGTCACACCTCTCACTCACTCTTCTCACTCTCACACCTCTCACCCTTCACACCTCTCCACTCTCTCCCATGCATACCGCTCCATTGCATTCCCTCCCCTTCATCACAATCCCTGCAGGAGTTGGTGCCGTGGCAATCGGGCATGGACTTTGGAACCTTTTCAGAACAAACAATCAAGCAGTACTACTAAAGGGCTGACGGTGGGGCGGGGCTGCCCTGCCCTTGCTATGTGTTCAGAGATGTTCCAAATGTTGCACCTCAGGCAGTGCTGCTGGCAAACTAATGGTGCCACTGCCCTTGCCATGCTATGCTGTGTACCCAACCATACATGCAGAAAAGACTCAGCTTACAGATGGGCATCGGCAATTTGGCCTGGGACGTTTTTACCTGCAAAACAAAAGGTCACTTACAAAAATGAAGGCACAATAATACAATCAATATTACAATAACCTACATAACCTA